TGTGTGGATATACCATAATTTGTTTACGCATTCGTCCATTGATGAGCACCTAGGTTGTTTCCATCTTTTTGCTATTGTGAACAGTGCTGCAATGAACATGGGTGTGCATGTATCTATTCGTGTGACAGCTCTTATTTCTCTAGGTTATGTTCCAAGAAGTGGGATAGCTAGATCGTATGGTACTTCTATTTCTAGCTTTTTAAGGAAGTACCAAATCTATTTCCAAAGTGGTTGTACCATTTTACATTCCCACCAACAGTGTATAAGTGTTCCAGTCTCTCCATAACCTTTCCAGCATTTATTATTTAAAAAAATAATCTTAAACTTTTTAGCATAGTGCCTAGTTCTCAATCATAAGGGTTGTTATCGAACAGCATATACTATTGATCTTACCTACCATTGTATCTCGCCTTGGCACAGAGTAAGCACTCAGCAAAATTTGGTTAAAGTACTTATTTCATACGTGTGTGTGCTAATTTTTTTATGTGTCAGTATTTTTAATCAAACTTTGAAATATTTGTGGGCAAATTGGTTCTCTGATTTGCTTTCAAAAAGGACCATGACCTACAGGCACCACTGATAGACATCACGTGCTTAGAACCTTTAGCCTTCTTTTGCTTGATTTTCAGCACAGGTTGGATAGTGTAGGGCCTTTATTGGATGTTTTCCTTAGAATAGGTGCGTTTTAACAATTGCTTGATCCTTTGACTTGGAATTTGAGGAATGTGACATGATGAGACTTCGGTGCAAAAGCATGGCATCCATGTATATTCTGAAACAATAGTTGTCTTTCACAATTCTGGAAAGCTAGCACTTAAATTCTTTCTATAAGAATAGTCCTAAAGATAAATTTTTCTGCAGAAGGAAATTGTTTGTATAGAATAATAAAAAGAACTTTGGAGTTAGGCTTGACTTCCAGTCTAGTTTGGTGACTTGGGGAAATTTGCTTTTTTTGTTGTTAAATGCCGCCAAGTCAGTTCCAACTCATAGTGACCCCATGTACAATAGAACAAAACACTGCCCGGTCCTGTGCTATCATCAACAATCATTGCTATGTTTAAGCCCATTGTTGCCCCTTTGTGTCAGTCCATCTCGTCGAGAGTCTTCTTTTTCACTGACCCTCTACTTTACCAAGCATGATGTCCTTCTCCAGGGACTGGTCCCTCCTAGTTACATGTCCAGAGTAAGTGAGACGAAGTCTCACAATCCTCTATTCTAAGGAATACTTCTTCCAAGACAGATTCGTTTGTTCTTTTGGCAGTCTGTGGTATATTCAATATTCTTTGCCGATGCCATAATTCAGAGGCATCAATTCTTCTTTGATCTTCCTTATTCATTGTCCAGCTTTTGCATGCATATGAGATAATTGAAAATACTATGGCTCGAGTCAGGCACATCTTAGTCCTCAAAGTGACATCTTTGCTTTTTAACACTTTAAAGATGTCTTTTACAGCAGATTTGCTCAGTGCAATACTGTCTTAATTATCTAGTGCTGCTATAACAGAAATACTACAAGTGGATGGTTTTAACGAAGAGAAGTTTATTTCCTCACAGTCAAAGTAGGCTAAAAGTCCAAATTCAGGGCATCAGCTCCAGGAGAAGGCTTTTTCTCTCTGTTGGCCTTCTTCTCCTCGGTGTTCCCTCGAACTAGGACCTTGTCTGCGCAGGGACCCTGGTACAAAGGATGCGCTCTGTTCCTGGCACTGCTTTCTTGATGGTGTGAGGTCCCCCATTCTCTGCTTGCTTCCCTTTCCTTTTATCTCTTGTAAGCTAAAAGGTGGTGCAGGCCACACCCTAGGGAAACTCCCTTTACAGTGGATCAGGGATGTGACCTGGGTAAGGGCGTTGTTACAATCCCACCCTAATCCTCGTTAACATAAAATTACAATCACAAAATGGAGGCAAACCACACAATTCTGGGAATCATGGCCCAGCCAAATTGATACACACATTTTTTGGGGGACATAATTCAAACCATGACAAATACATAATTTGATTTCTTCACTGCTGCTTCTGTGGGTGTTGATGGTGGATCCAAGTGAAATGAAATCCTTGACAACTTCAATATTGTCTCTGTTTATCATGATGTTGCTTATTGGCCAAGTTGTGAGGATTTTTGTTTTCTTTATGTTGAGATGTAATCCACATTGATGGCTGTAGTCTTTACTCTTCATTATTAAGTGCTTCAAGTCCTCTTTGTTTTCAGCAAGCAAGGTTGTGCCATCAGCATATCGAAGGTTGTTGATGAGTCTTCCTCCAATCCTGATGTCCCATTCTTCTTCATATAGTCCAGCTTCTTGGATTATTTGCTCAGCATACACATTGAATAAGCATGGTGAAAGGATACAACTCTGATGCACACCTTTTTTGATTTTAACTACGCAGTATCCCCTTGTTCTGTTTGAAGAACTGCCTTTTGATCTATGTACAGGTTCTGCATGAGCACAATTAACTGTTCTGAAATTCCCATTCTTCGCAATGTTATCCATAATTTGTTACGATCCACACAATCGCATGCCTTTGCATAGTCAATAAAACACAAGCAAACATCTTTCTGGTAGTCTCTGCTTTCAGCCAAGATCATCTGAGTTCAGCAATGATATCCCTTGTTCCATGTGCTCTTCTGAATCTGGCTTGAATTTCTGGCATTTCCCTGTTGATGTACTGCTGCAGCCATTTTTGAATTATCTTTGGCAATTTAATGAGGCTAAATCTCAGTTTCTATATATGTAAAGTAGAGATAACAGTAGTAACATTTTTATAGAGTTGAAGTGGTAAATGAGATAATGTACATAAAGCAGTACAAGCCTGGAGTATAATAATTGTTGGAAAACGGTAGCTATTGTTTTTATTATTAAACCTTTTTTAAAAAGTCAGACAAAATTTAAAGCTGAAAATTATAAACAACTTTAAAAAATATATGCCAGTTTGCATATACAAATCAACATCTGTTTCATCTGAATGGTTCAGTTATTGACTTATTTATATGACTTATTTATTGCCATGCAGATGTATCATTGAACCACAGAATGACAGGAAATGACAGAACTGCCAGAGTCATCTAGTTAAAGTTGCTAATTCCACACATGAAGAAGCAGCGTCCCAAACTGCTTTGGTGACTTAGTCAATATTACCCAGTTCTAATAAGTGGAAGGGTAAGGACTTGGGGCAAACTTTCTAGACTGTCACTGTCCTAAGAGGAAGCCCGGAAGAGATGATGTGGGTAGATGGGGAAGAAAGTGTGGGATAGGGTCTGCAGAGGTGTGACTTCCCTTTCTCTACTGCTTGTGTGTACATTTGTGCACACGTGTGTACATGGGAGAGAGAGGGGAAGTGGGGCTGGGAGAAAGAGCGAGAGAGCATGTGTGTGTAGCTTACTGACCTTTTGTAAACTTTTAGCATCCACTAATTTTCCCCACTTACTGGGTTTCAAAAAGAAAACTCCCTTCAGTATGTACTACACCTCAACATAAGGAAAGCAAAAATCCTCACAACTGGGCCAATAAGCAATATCAAGATAAACAGAGAAAATATGGAAGTTGTCAAGGATTTCATTTTACTTGGATCCGTAATCAATGCCCATGGAAGCAGCAGTGAAGAAATAAAACTATGTATTGCACTGGGCAAATCTGCTGCAAAAGACGTCTTTAAAGTGTTAAAAAGCAAAGATGTCACTTTGAGGACTAAGGTGTGCCTGACTCAAGCCATGGTATTTTCAGTCACCTCATATGCATGTGAAAGCTGGACGATGAACAAGGAAGGCTGAAGAAGAGTTAATGCATTTGAATTATGGTATTGGTGAAGAATATTGAATATACCATGGACTGCCAGAAGAACAAACAAATGTGTCTCGGAAGAAGTACAGCCAGAATGTTCCTTAGAAGCGAGGATGGCGAGACTTTGTCTCACTTACTTTGGTCATATTATCAGGAGGGACCAGTCCCTGGAGAAGGACATCATGCTTGGTAAAGTAGAGGGTTAGTGAAAAAGTGGAAGACCCTCAACAAGATGGATTGACACAATGGCTACCAGTGGGCTCTAACTTAGCAATGATTGTGAGGATGGCGCAGGACTGGGCAATGTTTCATCCGGTTGTACATGGGGGGGCTATGAGTTGGAACCAATTTGACAGCATGTAACAACAACAACAACAAGAAAACTTTAAGCAGAAAGAATACTTTCGCTCCCGGTTATGAGAAACCTTGGGTGCCTAACCTTGTGCCAGGATACTGTATGAGGAGGAATAAGTAGGAGTTACATCTCTAGAAGGTGATGCTTGGGGACATTGAATTCATTTGACATCATATAGATAAAGCAAGCTCTGTTCTCCTTTCGTGTGTTTCAATAACTGTAGATCTTGGAGGTGGAACCTCTTTTTTTAGGTGTAAATCTTGTAAGAGAATTTTTGCAGAGCTGGATTATTTGAATTCCTTTGACAGCTATTATTTCCTAACTGGAGTAAGGATCCTACATGGCCACTTTTCAAAAGTATTTTTAAAAGCCACATGCAAACTATAGTTGTGATTTTTAAAAAAGAACTTGTGATTTCTAAATGTCAAATCAATGAGGTGTGATTTATGGCTTTAGCAAATATATCAATTTTTAAAACAATTAATTTGAAATCTCAAGTATGAGAAAAATGCATTCAGAGTTAACTGATTTGGGTTCTTCTTTTTTCCCTTAATTAAGGACCAGTAGGGTCTTAGTCATTGGGAGTGGTAATATTTGCGAGTTTTATGTTACTTTCAGTTGCTGATGTACTTAATGAGGCCATTTTTTCATTTGGGCTTGTATTTTGACATTGATGCTGTTGATATAAACCAAAGAAGTGAGACTTTCCTTACTGATGTTTATAGGTGAGAATTTCTCAAACTGAGTGGGAACAGAGGGCAAAAGTGTAAGAAAAGTAAAAATGTGTAGTGGTATTCATGATGATAAGGCACCTGCCTTCCTTGGCAAATGGTGATATTCATATAATCCTATTTAATTCTCTTTTCTAGCTTGTTCGTTTTGGTTTAAGTAATCAGTTGGTGGTTGCTTTCAAAGAAGATTCCACTGTTGCTTTTAAGCACTTGTTTTTGAAAGGATATTCTGGCATAGATGAAGATGACTATAGCTGCAGTGTGTATACTCAAGAGGACACCTATGAGAGCATCTTTTTTGCTATTAATCAGGCAAGTGTTTCACTGTGAATGATCTATACTTTAAGAATATATTGATACTTTGCCTTGTTGTCTTAGCAAAAAAAAATTATACATGTATTGAAATGTTCTAAAGTAAATTATAGTCTGCCAAAAGTGGTTTATTGCTATGTCTGTAATTATATTTTCACACCAAACCCTATTTTAAGTTTTTCTTTAAAGTTTATCTTTTTTATTTATACCTTCACACCTACTACCTTTGGGAGATTACTTTACCCTAGACCAAATAGCCAAGAGTAGATTTATAATCTTGGAAGGTTTGATGAGTGAGATACCAAATCTAAGATTCTAGAGTCCCTATTTTGCTGTTTTAGCATTAATAATCCTGGCTGAATCTTAAGAATATGCAGTATGATATGATATAGTTATATATAGGCAAATATGTCAAGGATCCCTGGTGGCACAAAGGTTAAGTACTTGACTGCTAACGAAAGGCTGTTTGAACCCACCCAGCGGCTCTATTTGAGGAAGACCTGGCAATCTGCTCCCATAAAGATTACCACCTAGAAGACCCTATGGGGCAGTTCTACTCTGTCACATGGGGTTTCTATGAGTCAAAATTGACTTGCCGGCACCTAACTACAACAGGCAGGTATGAGAATTAAAGAAAGCATTTAGGGGAGTGTTTTAGACCCTCTAGAGAAGCAAAACCAGTGAAGCGCTTATATCAAGGAAATGGCTCATGTGGTTGTAGAGGCTGGAAAGTCCCAAGTCCATGAGTCAGGCTTGAGGCTTCTCCTGACTCATATAGCTGCAAGGGCTGGTGAACCCAAGATCGGCAGGTCAGACAGCAAGCCTCTGGCTCACAGGCTGTGGTGGCCGACAAATCCCAAGATCAGCAGGTAAGATGGCAGGCTACTGGCTCACAGGCTGCAGAGGCTGAAGAATCCCAAGATTGACAGGGAAGCTGCTAGCTCAAGTCCCAAGAACTGGAGGTCAGATGAACAGGACTCAGCTGCAGGATCCAGGGTGACCAAAAGTGAGCAAGTTTTGCCAGAAAGTCCACATATATTGGATGCATGCAGCAGCCACAAGGAAACTCCCTTCCATCTGATTGGCTGCTCATAACAGATCTCATCATGGAGGTGATTACATTATATCACATCTCATTATGGAAGTGATTACATCATTACATAGCTGCCAAACTACATCATCACTGCCAAACTACATCATCACTGCCAAACCACTGAGAATCATAGCCCAGCCAAGTTGACACACAACCTTAACCATCACAGGAGAGAGAATATATTTTTATTCTCTTTCATTAATTCATTAAATAAATAAATATTTTAGTACCCAGTGTGTATCAGGTACTGTTCTAGACACTGAGGATATAGCAGTGAATAAAACAGACAAAAACTCTGCCCTTGTTGAATCTTATTTTAGTGGGGAGAACCAGAGAAATGAAAAGAAGCTAAATGTTTAAACCCTTCCCTGACCCAGTTAAAAATTTTTAAAAATTTTTTGTTAATATTATGTTTTTTCATTAATAAAATGCATGGAATGCATGCTGCATCATTGAGTGTGTCTGATTTTTTTGTAGCTAGTGTGGATTTTTTGTCTCCTTCCCAAAACAAAAATCCTACCCTTCAGAGTCCAGTGGGATACACAATGTCCCACTAATTCTACCCCAGAGTCCCCCAGAGTCCGGTGGGACATATATGTCCCAAGTAAAAATTTTCAGAATTTTAGTTTTCCTACCAGAAATGTACATACATCATACAATACCCTTTAAAAACAGTAATTTGAGGCACATGCCTGTTTCTTCAGTTTCAAACTGTCATACAGGCCTTCACCTAGTGGCAGCATACACTCTCAATAGGAAAGCTGCTTCCCAAGAAACCTGAGAGACCCAAAATGTATGTGGGAGCTATAATGTCCCATGGTCATGATAGTATCAAATGCTGGCTCTCTGAAAGCACCGCAGAAAAACATGGTGATAATGAAAGCTGAGCTTAGAGTTTTATAGCAATAACGGAGATACTATCTTGACAAGTCTCAGTAGTGGGTGGGGAGGGCAAAGTCCGGATAAAGGTTTTGGGGTCTGGTTTAAGGTGGATCTTTCAGTGGGGGAGGAGCTTTATTAGAATGGGATGATGATCCTGATAGAGTGGTTTAGGATTCTTTGACACAGCAAGGTGAGGGTTTAGGGGGTTTCAAAGAGTCTTGGAGTTGTTACCAGACTAAATCTTCACATTGATATTAAATCAGAAATGGATTTAAACAAATGAGTTTTTCAGATGTTCCTGAAATGATCAGTATGATTCTGTACAACTTTTATGTTCCTGGATAAGAGTTTCCTGGAACTGTAAAGTCATATTAATGAAGATAGGGGCCTAGTAAAACCTGTCGGTGCAGATAGCAAAAGACTGAAGTATGTGAGTTGTGGAATATGGCTGGCTCAGGTCCTCCTTGGGATGTCAGAAAGTGGTAACTGCTATGGAACAAAGCAGAGGACGACTCGGAAGTGCCTGAGTGGAGTGATGGGTGTTTGCATTTTCATGGAGGTGGTGAGCAAAGGCCTCACTGAGAAGGTGATATTTGAGTCAAGACTTGAAGGAGTGAATCATGCAGATGGATATCTGGAATGCTAGGCAGAAGGTACAGCAAAAGCCTGAGGCAGAAGTATGCCTGGTCGGCTCTAGGAACTGCCTGGAGGCCAGTGTGGTTGGGGCAGTAGTTATCAGTGAGGTCAGAAAGATAAGGAAGGACCTTGGCTTTGGGTCTGAGTGAAATGGGGAGCATCTGTTAGCATGTTTACTTGAGTTTTGAGTCCTGTGAGGCAGTGTGCTCCTGCACAACCTGAGAAAATTACCTTGTGTTATTTTAATTTGGGGAGTTCTATTGTGCTAACCAAAAGGTAGGCAGTTTGAATCCACCAGGCGCTCCTTGGAAACCCTATGGGGAAGTTCTACTCTGTCCTATAGGCTCACTATGAGTCGGAATCGACTCAATGGCAATGGGTTTGGTTTTTTTTTTTTTTTAATTGATACAAGCATTAAAAAATAGCTAAAAGTATATCCCATATGCTATAACTTCTGATCAAACATTTAAAAACTCATATGTGTTTTTATTTAACTATTTTTAATAGTATCATCATCTAAAGAACATAACCCTGGGGACTGTTGCGTATGGAGAAAATGAAGACAATAGAAATGGCTTAAAAGTCTGTAAGCAGCATTACAAGAAAGGGACCATGCTTCCTTCTAATGAGACACTGAATATTGACAGCGATGTTGAGACAGGTAATGCACTGATCATTTGATTACATTATGCTGTTATCATCTCTGTGGTAAGAGCAAAAATGCCCTGGTGTGTTGGCAACCCAAATGGAACAACTTTGCTTTTGTGAGAGCTAGCCTATTAGAGGAGTCACTTTAGCATTTGCCTGCAAAGGGCTTTGACTCAGAAAACTGTGCAACTATAAACCAGGGACAGCGTTCTGGATATCTTTAGTGCAATTCAGGATTGTTGGGTTTAGAGTGACATAGGTGTTTCCTGTTTGTTTCGATTTTTCCTCCCATGAAGAAACATTTAGACTTTTTGAAAAAAAGAAGGGCCGGTATTTATTAAATGAAATAATGTGTGTAAAAATGCTTTGAACCCTTGTTTTTATTATTTGTAGAATATGTAAATGCTCTTCAAAGTTGAATTGTGATTAGCAACTCATTTTCTCTTTTAGAAGATTGCTTAGCAAAAAGTTAACAGCAAATCAAGAAGAATTGTTTTGTGATACTCTGTTAAGGGTCGCTATGAGTCGGAATTGATTCCATGGCAAAGGGTTTGGTTTTTCTTACTCTGTTAAGAATATAAAAGCACACCAGTGTAAATGCAAAGTGTTTGACTTAAGACTCTGGGGGTTTTGTCATTCATTCAACAAACATCTGGTGTTGAATGAGTGCCCCAGGCACTCCCAGCTTTATGTACAGGGGTTGCAAAGATTAATCAAAAAATGGCTCCTCACGTTAGTAGTCAGCCGTTCAGGAGTGGAGGTTCCAGTAGCGATTACAGTTTGGAATAGTCTCATTAAAATGAAAATGTCACACAGTTCATTTGACCGTATTATCTATAATCTGATCTTAAGGTACCTTGGTAACACAGCAGACCACCCCTGTAAGACAGAGGTTCTACTCACTCTCCATGTGCTGCCTGTTCAGAATCTCTTCATGATTAAATGTGTCCCATGCTCTTGACTCCAGTAGCAGCTTCTAAACCACAGCCATCAGGGGCCTATGCAGTCTCTGCCTCCCAGGTTTGTTTCAGAGACCAGATAGGTGAAGGTCTTAGTTCTAAGTGATAAAAATGTTCGTGGTCTTATTGCCCCAGGGACTTCTGTTTTCCTGCCATCTTTTTGGCAGCCAGTCTACAGGCACTCATCCTGTTCCAGCCTCAGTCTTTTACCTGGTGCCTTCAGCTGTGCTTCTCCCTGTGGGTTTATAATAACTGAGATAGGAGCCCGTGATAGGTGGGGCTGAGGGTTTGTCTAGTGACCCGCGGCTTCAGGTAAGCCATTGGCCACTTACCGTTTTAAAAATGGGCAACTCAAATTGAATGCACCATTTGATAGTTTTCCAGTGATTCATAAGCTGTTTTCCCCAATTGATTTTTCTTGGAAAATCAAGTAAAGAAATGTGGCCAAAATCAATATAAGTGGCTAGGTAACACAAGCAGTGTCAGAAAGTAGGTTTGCTTTCCTGACCATGAAACAGTGGTGCCCTGTTAATTCTCTTTCAGTCAGAATATGGAATCATTTTAACCAAATGGAGAGAACTTGTCATTAATTTGACTTTAAGAGAGACTGTTTAACCAGATTAATTGCATTTCTTGACTTATTATATATAACTTGTCAAAGAGAACCTTTTGACATATCCATTCAAGAGATATAAAAAATATTTTAAAAATACTTAATACTGGAGTTTAGATTTTCTTCTCTTAGACACATTCAAGGAAGCCTGCAGATGATATGCACAGGAATTGAATTTAACCTCATTGTTGCATTTTAAACTTACAGTTTAAGTAGGTGAATTAGTAGAAGCTGCTCTAAATTGAAGGAGCCCTGGTGGCACAGTGGTTAAAGCACTCGGCTGCCAACCTAATTGTTGACAGTTAAAACAAACCAGCCGTTCTACAAGAGACAGATGTGACAGTCTGCTTCTGTAAAGATTTACAGCCTTGGAAACCCTATGGGACAGTTCTACTCTGTCCTGTAGGGTCGTTATAAATTGGAGTTGAAGCCACAGCAACGGGTTTAGTTTTTTTGGTTTGGTTCCAGTTTTGCTACTCATTATGAATTTTGCATGATCCGTACTAGTTAGAGAGTCATCCTTCAGTGTGCTAAATGCAGAGATTTGTCTGAATGCCTTGCTTTCCCAGTGGGTTTAGAGTTAGCCGCACAACTTCCGTGCAAATCAAGCTGAATGTTTCTCTCAATTCACGCTGCGGCCATGTCCCTCCCATTCCTGCCTCTAGGGCTGCATCTTTCCAGCTCAGCCTCACTGGGAAGAGTTTATGAATCCTGTTAAAAAAGATTTTTCTTACAACATTTGGGTGGCTATCATTCTAATACAGTGTTTTGCTTTCTGTAGCACATATTAAACAATTTCTTATGTTCTCCCTTCCAGATTTGCTTAGCATAAGACATTCTCTCCATTTCATCATTTTCCCTGCTGTTTTAAAGACATTATTGTATCCACTCTCCCTTTGTCTCTCATAGGGTTTTTACTTCCTTTGCTGGAGTAATCTGCTCTGTGAGTGACATTTGTTCAGTCATGAGACCTTTACTGTACATACCAGTTCTGTTTGAGGCTGGATGTTTTACTTAGGGCTTTTGCCCTCTGGGTCTGCTTTTTTCTTCTTCCTTCCTTTCTTCTTCTTTTTTTAAATCTCAGTTCTTAGGTTTTGCTGCCACCAGGTGATTGGCCGCCTCAGTAGCGCCGACTATAGTGTAAGGACTACAAGCCTTCCAAGAGTTCCGAATGTGTATTTAGATAAAGTGTAACTATAATTTCAAACAAACCGATCCAAAATTTGAACAGTGAACTAGATTTTTAGAGGGCAAAATTTACAAACAGTGACAAATAACAAACAAAATGCTGTCATATCTCTCTGAACCTAAGATGTACCACCAGGCCAAAGGGCTTCTCTTAATTCATGCCAACAAACAAACTTCAACCGAGCCCCGAACTGCCCTGAAATCCTACGGAAATCCCTTAGCTCTCATCCTCGCTCTAAGGTGATGATTGCTTGTCTTCTCTCTCGTTATAGTGCTCCATGCCTTCTTCTCTTCATCGCTTCCAGCTGATAACCTTGCTTCATGGTCATTGGAGGAAAAAGAATAAAAGCCCCCAGAGTACAATGCCCTCACTTCTTGCTGCACATCTTCAAAGCTCCTTGCATAGCTTCCCTCCTCTGCTTTTTACCCTCACGTTACAGAAGTACAGATGAAAAGACCACAGTTAAAGCACCTGAGCACCAGCTCTCAGCCCTTTCAGCTTCTGAGGAACAACCTCTTTTCTCTCTGGCATCTATATACTGATGGCATCCAACTTTACATCTCTAACCTGAATTCTCCCCTGGGCTCAAGATTCCTCATATAGTTGTCTACTTGACAACTCCACTATGATGTCTGTCGTAGATTGAATTGTGTCCCCTAAAAATACGTGTCAACTTGGTTAGGTCATGATTCCCAGTATTGTGTGGTTGTCCTCCATTTTGTGATTGATATAATTTTCCTGTGTATTGTAAATCCTAATCTCTGCCTGTGGTTAATGAGGCAAGATTAGATTATGTTAAAGAGGATTAGGGTGGGATGTAACAACCTTGCTCAGGTCACACCCCTGATCCAATGTAAAGGGAGTTTCCTTGGGGTGTGGCCTGCACCACTTTTTATCTTACAAGAGATAAAAGGAAACGGAAGCAACTAGAGAGTGGGGGACCTCGTACCACCAAAAAAGCAGCACCAGGAGCAGAGCGTGTCCTTTGGACCAGAGGTTCCTATGCAGAGAAGCTCCTAGATCAAGGGAAGAATGATGACAAGGACCCTCTTCCAGAACTACAGAGAGAGAAGGGCTTCCCCTGGAGCTGACGTCCTGAATTTGGACTTCTAGCCTACTAGACTGTGAGAAAATAAATTTCTGTTTGTTAAAGCCATCCACTTGTGGTATTTCTGTTATAGCAGCACTAGATAACTAAAACAATGTCTAATAGGGATTTCAAACCTGATGTGTCCAAACAGACCATTTTGAACCTCCCTCACCTCCCCACCTGTCTTAATTATCTAGTGCTGCTATAACAGAAATACCACAAGTGGATGGCTTTAACAAACCGAAATTTATTCTCTCGCAGTCCGAATTCAGGGTGCCAGTACCAAGGGAAGGCTTTCTGTCTCTGTCTTCTGTGGGGGAAGGTCCTTGTCATCAATCTTCCCCTGGTCTAGGAGCTTCTCAGCTCAGGGACCCTGGGTCCAAAGAATGTGCTACACTCTCAGCTCTTCTTGCTTGGCGGTATGAGCTCTGTCTTAGTCATCTAGTGCTGCTATAACAGAAATACCACAAGTGGATGGCTTTAACAAAGAGAAGTTTATTCTCTCACAGTCCAGTAGCCTAGAAGTCCGAACTCAGGGCGCTGGCTCCAGGGAAAGGCTTTCTCTCTCTGTCAGCTCTGGAGGAAGGTCCTTGTTAGCAGTCTTCCCTTGGTCTGGGAGCATCTCAGCGTGGGAACCTCAGGGATATTACCTGAGTAAGGGTGTTACAATCCCACCCTAATCCTCTTTAACATAAAATTACAATCACAAAATGAAGGACAACCACACAATACTGGGAATCATGACCCAGCCAAATTGATGCACACATTTTTGGGGGGACATAATTCAGTCCCTGAGAAGGTCCTTCGCCTCTCTGCTCGATTCTCTTTTATATCTTAAAAGAGATTGACTCAAGATACAACCTAATCCTGTAGATTGAGTCCTGCCTCATTAACATAACTGCCTGTAATCCTGCCTCATTAACATCATCAAAAAACCCGTTGCTGTCGAGTCGATTCCAACTCATAGCGACCATGGATTAACATCAGAGAGGTTAGGATTTACAGCACATAGGAAAGTTATACCAGATCACAAAATGATGGGCAACTGCACAATACTGGCATCATGGCCTAGCCAAGTTGACACACATTTTAGGGGGATACAGTTCAATCCATAACATCACCCCTGGCCCAACCTGGGTTTTTATGTTTGTTTGTTTGTTTTTTATCTTAGTCTTCCTCATCTCAGAAAATGGTACCAGCTTTTCATATCAAACCACAGTATTCCCAATTGTTGAAGCCCCAAACCTGAATTCGATTTCTCCAATTCCACTGCACTGCCACCACCGTAGTCCAAGTCACCATCATCTCTTGCTTAGACTCGCCTCCCTGCTTTGAGTCTTGCTTCTACCACCCCTGCCTTGCCCCACAGCACCTGGGGTTATATTTTTAAAAACATAAATCGGATCATGTCAGTCCTTGGCTTAAAAGACATTAGAGACTTCCCATTCCACTTAGAATTAAAATCCACAAATCCCTAGAGGAGCAAGCCATCTACCTGCCTCCCCAAGCCCCTTACACACCTGTCTCCATTTTTCTGTTCTAGCATCCTGTCTCTTTCTTGGACAAGCCAAGCTTTTTCTTACCTGAGAGACTTTGTGCTTGTTTTTGTTTTTCTACTCAGAGCACTCCCCTGAATCTACACATAGATAGTCCTTTTTCCTCTCTCAGTTTCAGTTCAAATGTTGTCATAACCTCAAAGCCCTTCTCTGACCACCTTGTCTCTGGTAGGGCTACCCCACCTATACACTCTCCTTAGTCACTTTACCCTATCTTCACAGTACTTCTCACAATGTGAAATTATCTTGTATATATTTTTTGCTTATTGTTCCTCGTCCCCACTAGAATGTAAAAGCTCCACAAAGATACTGACCTTGTCTGTTCTGTCCATTGCTTTACCTTCAGTACCTAGGACAGAGCCTGGTTTATAAAGGCTCTTAGCAAACTTACTGAATAAATGAATGAGTCTGGTAGGGGGCCTGTGTCTTTTGATGTTCTTCTGAAATATGTGCTTAGGCATCAGCCTCATACTTGAACCAGTGAAGAGCTCAGGTTCTGGAGCTAGACACATGTAGATTTAAATTCTGGTTTGCCACTAGCTAGCTGTGTGACCTTGGGGAAGTTTCTTGATCTTTCTGTGTCTTGCTTTCTTCATCTGTAAAATGGCAGCAGTAGTACCTATCTCACAAAGTTGTTTGGAGAATTAAACAAGATGATGCCTTAAATGAGAGAGCATATAAAGCCTGTAGCACAATGCCTGGTACAGAAAACGGTGAAGACATTTCATATTAAACCATAATATTCCTGTCTTTGTTATCTTGTGCTGCTATAACAGAAATACTACAAGTGGATGGCTTTAACAAAGGGAAATTTATTCTCTCAGTCTAGGAGGCTAGAAGTCCAAATTCAGGGTGCCATCTCCAGGGGAAGGGTTTCTGTCTCTGTCAGCTCTGGGGGAAGGTCCTTGTCATCAATCTTCCCCTGGTTGAGGAGCTTCTCAGTGCAGGAACTCTGGGTCCAAAGGGCGCTCTACTCTCCTGGCTCTTGTTTCTTGGTGGTATGAGGTCCCCAGGTCTCTCTGCTCCCTTCTCTCTTTTATATCTCAAAAGAGATTGACTTAAGACATAACTTATTCTTGTAGATTGTGTCCTGCCTCATTAACATAACTGCCTCTAATCCTGCCTCATTAACATCATAGAGGTAAGATTTACAACACATAGGAAAATTATATCAGATGACAAAATAGTGGACAGTCACACAATACTGGGAATCATGGCCTAGCCAAGTTGACATACATTTTGGGGGGACACAATTCAATCCATAACAATTCCTAATTGCTCAAGCCTCAAGTTTGAATTTGATTTTTACATTTCCACTGCTACCTCCATAGTCCACAGAGTAATTGCCCAGTACATTTTTGCTATTTTTATGATTATCAGTTTTCTCATGTCAGAAAACAAGTTTCTTTTGATTAACCTACCTCACTGTATCAATTGAGGTTCAGTCAGGAAAACCAACACTGAATTTCTTGATGCTAATATTTCATTTACCAAACAAAGAGACATGCCCCCTCTGGAATCTGCTTTTCTTAAATATTGTGCCTGTTGAGTTACCTGTTGAGCTCTGTGTCCGCATTTTGGGCTCTGAAAGCCAAATTTTCATATTGGCACATATTTTGAATGCCAACTGTATGCTAGGCAAAGAGTGTTTAACAAAGTGCAACATAGTTGTGCACTTGCCCTCAAAGACCTTCAACTGTAGTTGAAGGGATAGATAAATGAATAGAGAATTCCACTTGTGGAATAACACCCTTAAAGAATTAGCCATTAGACTACCAAGATTTCTTGAGCTCCTACAGAGTGTCAGGCACTGTATTAGACCCTGACTTTTCAAAGGCAGCATGGAGGGACAGCAACAATCTGGGTGAGAGTCAGCCAGGCTGCTCTATCACCAGATCTGTCCTATGTCTTTCTGACCTTGAGGTATTCACCTTCTTTAGACCACCTCAGTTTTCTGCCCTGTACAACAAGGGTTTTGGGCTACAAAATAACGAAGCTAATTCTTATGTAAGGCTCCGGGAATCTTCTTTTAAGTTTGCAGCTCATAATTTGTTTTTATTTGAATTCAACCAAAATTCCTTTCCTTTCTTTTTTTATTTTGAACAAGTGTTAGAGGAAAGTTGAAAAACAGCACACAAAGATTTATTGTAGAGGCAATCTCTGGATTATGAACGAGTACCATTCCTAAATCTGTCTTTAAGTCGTTTGTACGTAAGTTGGAGCAATTAGGTACAGTTTGTATCTACCGCCAGTTAGTCAAATGTTTGTCTTAGTATATAGTATACCTTTCTCTGCATAAAAAGCATTAAAGAAACACTTCCAGAAACACTCAAACATCTTTAACATAATAATACAGTAATAATAATAGTTTTGATACATATCACAAAGTAGCGCCCATTTGTTATTACCAACCATTGTACGTACCTCAAAGTTTTAATGTAATAGGCTTTATGGGGATTGGTTCATAACTATGGGTTGTTCATAACCATGAGGACTGCTTGTATATACTTCATCCAGATTTCCCAAATGCTAACATTTTGCCACATGTGTTTTATCATTTTTCCTATGTACTTCTCCAAAACAAATGCATTCTCGTGAGTAACCAGCATACAATATTCAAAACCTGGAATTAACATTGATACGACATTATAAACCATGTTCACATTTCGTCGATTGTCCTAATGTCCTTTATTAGGATGAAGCTGCTGCTGCTTATTTATTGCTGTGGTTCAGAATCCTGCCCACTGCATTTAGTTGTCATGTCTCTTTGTTGTTGTTAGGTGCTGTCGAGTAAATTTTTGACTCCTAGCCACCCCATGGTGACAGAGTAGAACTGCCCTATAGGTTTTTCTAGGCTGTAATCTTTGTAGAAGCAGATCGCCGGGTCTTTTTGCCTCAGAGTTGCTGGGTGGGTTTGAACCGCTGAGCTTTGGGTTAGCAGCTGAGGGCTTAACTGTTGCACCAACAAGGCTCCTTCATGTTTTGTTCCTTTAACCTGGTACAAAATTGGCATTCTATTTATGATCTTGACATTTTTGAAGAATAGCATGAGTAGAATGCCCCTCACTTTGGGTTTGTCTGTTTTTTCATGAGGTCATGCATTTTTGTCAGTAATGCTGCACAAATAATGTCTGTCTCAGTGCATCATATCAAGGGGCGCATGACTTCTGTTCTCACTGTAAGGTTACTATTCTTCCCATTGTAATTAGTAAGTATCTTGTGGGGAGAAACTTTGAAATGTTGTCTGTATCCTGCCTTTCATGAGCTTTTGCATACTAGTTTTTGCATCTGATTCTTGCCTGAAATCAGTCTTTACTCATTCTTTTATTGGCCCAGAGTGTATTCACTTAAGCCTTCAGGTCCTCAGCAAGAACCCTCAGGACTGGAAGAACTCATCATTCTTCTGCCTGGAATTTTATCGGTAAGTTTAAGTCTTTTAAGTCTCATTTCCCAAGGGAGTAGGGAGTAATGTGGTAGCCTATGACCATTCATTACCTACTGATAATTTTTTTTTCCTCAGGCTTTTACAAATTGAAATCTCCTTTCAGCTCAAAGGCATTGACCTTCAGACAATTCGCTCCCGCGAGTTACCGGACTGTTACGTCTTTCAGAATAGGGTAAATGTCTTTGTTTTACTAAAGCCATTTTTGTCATCTTTCTGTTTGCCTTTCGTAGATCAGAGTGTAAAGCACAGCAGCCTGTAAGTGTATTAAACTCACTCACATTTAAAATCATTTTAATGACGCTTTATAGCCCTGATGATCCAGAGATCATCAACTTCTGAAAACAAAGCGAGCTCTTTCCACCTTTTTAAAACTAGATTTCTGGGTTGAAAAGAGGAATTTTTGAAATTGGCTTTGACCTGCTATTCTCCTCACATATAATAAAATCGCTTGTCATGACTGTTTTAAGTATTAATAATGTCTTTTCCACCTTCAGAGGAAGTTCTTTGCAAATAAGTAGCAAATGTTTTTAAACCTCGTGCCAGAAGCTGCCACCCTGACCTGAAGGCTAGTTTGCAAAGGAACGATTGTTGCTCCTTTTATTTTGGGAGGGGGCGTGTGCAGTACAAGAGACTGTTCACTTTTGTGGGGAGAGCAAATTGCCTTCTCACTTATATGAAGTTTCATGCTTTATTTATTAGTTAATGTTTATTGAGGACTAAGGTGAATGCTAAGGTATAAGCTGTACAAAACTGTCTTTTAGCAATTCAGAAGGATGCTTCATTCAGCAACATGCAATAAGTACTTAATGAGTCCCTACTATGTGCCAAGTATTTTGCTATACCCTAGAGAAACACAATAGCCATAACAATGGACTCAAGCATACCAAAGATCATGCAGATGGTACAGGACCAGGCAACATGTCTTTCTGTTATACATAAGGTTGCCATGATTCAAAGCCTACTCAAGGGTAACTAACAACAACAGAGAAACAGTGGCCCTTGGGAAACTGATCGCCTAGTGGAGAAGACATATAGCGGAAAAAAAAGTAACTAGAGAAATAAAAGTAATTACAAATGGTGATACTGTAGTAAGGAAGAATGACTTCAGTGGAGACGAGCATGATAATTCGCCTTAGGGTAGGCAAGAGGAGCAGGAAGGATCTGGATGGACAAGGAGAGGCAGGAGAGGTGCATGGAGGAGTGAGATCAGCAAAGGGCAAGATCATTTATGACTATGTCGGGCATGGTAAACAGTGTGAATTTTTAAAAATTGGCTTTCATTTTTTTTTACTTCTGTCTGCTTTAAGAAGTTTCCTGGGTGGCTTAAATGGTTTACACTTGACTGCTAATCTGCTAATCTAAAGGTTGGCAATTCAAACTCACCCAGTGGCACTGCAGAAGAAAGGCCTGGTGATCTGCTTCCATAAAGATTAGAGCCAAGAAAACCCAATGAAGCAGTTCTACTTTGTAACACTGGGGGTTGCCATGAGTGGGAATCAACTTGATGGCAATGGGTTTGGGTTTTGTTTGTTTCTGTTTTCTGCTTTAAGGTTATAAAGGCTTGAGAGAAGTATGTTAGGGCTTCTCCTTGGGGAAGTAGAGATCTTGAGCATCCAAGGTTAGTGGAGGTTTAATTATAGCTTACAGGTATAGAAGTGAGGCCCGTATGGTTTAATTCTTGAGCTTCTGGTTTGGTCATAATGATGTTATTGGAGTACACAGAATATGCTTTGTGTTCAGAGGTGCTAAGGCACAGGTAGATTTGTCCACAGATCACCTACACGTTCAGCTCTCCAGGTTCTCTGCCTGTGAATTTTTTGGATTTCATAATGTGTTCACTCTCAAAACCACTTGGCATGTATCACTTACCAACTTTATATGATTGACAAGTAATGTGGAAGATTTCGGGACATTTGGAAATCTTTTGGATAGGGGAGACATGATAGAGGTTCCAGCAGGATTCCTCTGGCTGCTCCATTGGGAGTGGGCTCAAAGTGGAAACTTCAGGTGTAAGGGAACCAGAGGAGGCCACCCCGATACTGCAGGGGAGATGACGGCAGCATGGTGGAGTGGGGGCATGGTCGAACCCCAGGTCTACCTTGAAGACATACCAGGTGGGATCTGCCAACAGGCCAGATAGGGGGAGGGGGAGTCAAGTCTACCCTGAGACCCCTGCCCAGGCATCTGGAAGGATGCAGCTGCCGTTTGCCGGCATGTGGGAAGCCAGGACAGGGGAGTTTGGGGGCACTTGGAAAGTTCCAGAGCCCAGGTTGGACATGTTGAGTTTAGCCTACCATGGAGATGGTTCAGTCTGCAGCTTTGGAGCAATCTTTGTTGTTTCTGAGAGCATTATATGCAGCCATTGAAGCAAGCAAAAAAAACGATTTCTAGCCTAGTGAAAACCTAGTGTGTCACACCCAAAGACCTAAATGGAAGCAAATGTTTTTGAATTTCATTCTGTATAAAACTGGGCAAATTTCCTTCAGTGTTCTCTTGTCAAAATTGGTGAATTCTAGTTTTTGGTCCTGGAAACTGGTTGGTTGTCTTCTCTAGGATTTCTCTGAACCAGAGGTGTGATGTCCTGGATTTAGCAGAACTTCATATGTTCACCCTTTAGACTATATATATTTTTCCATTAATAATAGAAAGTTGTGAAGAAATCATTGATGAGGCCATTTTTATTAGCATGATTCTCTTTGTAGCAGCAAGCTATTTGGATGCTATTTTTTTTTTTAAGCACAATTTATTTAACAAGCTAAGCTTTCTACTAGGTTATAATCTCTACATACATTTGTGTCTCCAGATTACCTATGACAATAAAGCTCACAGTGGCAAAATCAAAATATATTTTGACAGTGATGCCAACATCGAAGAATGTAAAGTCTTGAACATATCTGGATCTAGTAAGTATGCTATATGCTTGCCCATTGTGGATTATGGATGGTTTTTTAGCATTTTATCTTGGGATTTGTGTGTTTAAAATCGTTTGAGTGGTGATAGGAAGAAAGGGCTCCAGAAAACCACATTTTGAGCATTAGATTCTGTAAAACATATCCCAAAGCTTGCTTTTTTGTTCACTTCAGCAAATGTTTATTACACACCTCTTATGAGAGGCAGCATGGCTTAGGGGTTAAGAGCACAGGCTCTGGGGCCAGACAGCCTGGGTTCAGGTCCTGGCTCCATTGACTAAGCCCGTGATCTTGGACAAGCTACTTAATGTCTCTATGTCTCACTATCTTTTTCTGCAAAATCAGAGTAATAATAGTATTTACCTTCCAGGGCTGTTGTTGTTGTTGTTGGGTGCCTTTGAGTTGATTCCGACTCATAGTGACCCTATAGGACAGAGCAGAACTGCCCAGTAGGGTTTCCTAGTCTATAATCTTTACAAAAGCAGACTGCCAGGTCTTTTTTTTCCTGCAGAGTGGCTAGTGGGTTAGAACCACCAACCTTTCGGTTAGCAGCCGGGCCCTTAGCCACTGTGATACTAGGTCTCCTCCTTCCAGCGTGTTGAGTATTAAATAAGTTAGTATGTAAAGTAAAGCACTAAGAACAAGGGCTGGTGTATAGTAATTTCTAGGCACTATGGGAGCACAGGAGCCCTGGTGGCCCAGTGGTTAAGAGCTTTGGCTGCTAACCAAACAGTCAGCAGTTCAAATCTACCAGCTGCTACTTGGAAACCCTATGGAGCAGTTCTACTCCGTCCTATAAGATCACTACGGGTTGGAATCGACTCGACGGCAATGGGAATGGGTATGGGAACAGAATAATGGACTCAAGCATAGCAACGATTGTGAGGATGGCGCAGGACCGGGCAGTGGGTCGCTATGATTTGGAACCGACTCAATGGCACCTAACAACAAACAACAACGGAAACAGGAAGAAAACACCTTAGCGAGGGAGATGGACATGTTATAAAATCTCCAGTGGGTAGTGGATAGGAATAAGTGATGGAGGTACCAAAAGGTATGAAGATGCAGACAACAAAGATTAATAGTGACTGGAGTAGAATGAGAAATCTAGAAACGATTCTTGGAGGCTTTGATTTGAACCTTGGACAGTGGAGGGGATCAGGGTCTTCAGAGCTGAGAGGGCACTCTGTACAAACCCTCAGTTATTTGCTCAGTCATCATCCTTGAAAGCACCTCTTAATCCAAATGTGTAAAATGGACTACACAGGACCTGTTCTGTTTGCTTACTGAGGGATCTTGATGATGTTAATGATGGATGATCAGTATATATATATTTTAATTTACAAGTATTAATTGAATTTGCCTTTAATCAGATGATCAGAACAGAATAAAATGTAAAATTCTTATAGTTTCTAATTATTTTAGATTTTTTTAAAACTAGGTGTGATTTGTGGTCTCTTGCTTTTAAGTTGTATAATGTGTTCTGAGGATTTTGAAGCTTTGGTTTCAGTATTTTTATTAACTGACTGAAAACTATGATCAGAATACATAGTTTTAGTTTCTGTTAAAAAGTGATTGCTGTTTTCCAGCAGTCAGGCAGTCTCTCAGCCTCTGCCTCTGCCTTTATTTCTCTTTCTCTCTCTCCCTCTCACACACACACGCGTGAATGCACACACACACGCACAGATGCATGTTTTCCAAGTATAGGTTGCGGCCATTTTCTGTGACAAAAGCTGGTGTGGAAATGAGGCCAGCATGGTTTAATTCTTGAACTTCTGGTTTGGTTGTAATGATATTATTGTAGTACACTAAAGTACTTTGTGTTCAAAGACACTCAGGCGCATATGAAATGTGGTTTGGAATAGTCATTATGAAGATCAAAGTGACCAAATTAGTTAGTCAGTCAATCGTGTTGTCAGAACAGTTTCCTTCTCCCCACAGGGTCAGTATGAGTCAGAGTCTGCTCAATGGCAATGGGTGCTCTGAAGACAGGAATTCTGGCTTGCTCTGGTGGCTAGTGAGGAGAAACACAAACCTCGCAGGCCCCTCGTTCTTACATGTGCTTCTCTCAGAGCTGCATCCTAAGAAACCTGATTCTATCACTAGGCAAATGCAAATGTAAGCAAATGTAAAATAAAATGATGTGAAAGCCTTAAAAAGCTGAAATTTAGAAACTAACTTAGGAAAATTGATTTTTTTTTTTTTTCCATATATGAAGCTATGAGGTGGATTGACTAGCCTGGTTTTGGGGGAAGTTGAGAGAGGGGAAGTGGGAAGATGGGCAAGGGAAACATCTGGTGAGAAACTTAAGCTATTTCTGAAAAGTCCTGAAGTTTATACATATTCATACACTTAACCCTAGACTTTTCTCTCACTCTCGTCATCACTCATGTTATCTCAAGGTGAAATATGAGGGAAAATCCATTCTGACATGCAAACCTCATGTTAGTTACGTGACTCCTGTTACCCATCTCCAGGTGTGTTACTAATCTTTACTTTAACTTGATTTTATAAATATAGAAATTTGGGGACCTGGGACTCAGGGAGGTATTGGAGGGTTGGTCTTCCCATTGATGGGTGATGTAAGCAGGTGTTTCAGGGAAAGGGGTTTTGATAAGTTTAAGTAAGTTTGAGAAGCCCTGGGTTCGAATCACACAGACGAGCTGGTGGTGTGTGTGTGTAGGAGTTCTCAGGGCTTGGGAAGGACTGAGTGGTGTGCAGGAATTCTCTAACCAGATTGACAGGGACCAGTGTTTCACAAGCCCAGGTATGGGAAATGCTCTTCTGGGCAACCTGGTTTCAACAGAGTAAGAAAGCAATTACAAAGTTCATAAAATACTTTTTTAGCACACCAAAGCAATCCTCTCAACAAGTAAAAGAAGAGCAGAATACTGCACTGGATTCCCTGTTAGGAACACTTTGTCTTTCTAGGTCTGGGCTTCAGTTTTCCCATCTGTAAAGTAAGCCCAGTATAAACAACCTTATAGAGAATTCCTTCTAGTTGTAGGTTAGGATGGAAAGTACGAGATGCTGTCCTTGCATTTCATACAGTTTCAGTTCCATCTTCCTAAGAACTGCCCCTATTACCTCTGCCTCATTCCATGAACCACCCAAAAAAACTCATTGCCTTCAAGTCGACTCTGACTCACAGCAACCCTGTAGGACAGAGTAGAACTGCCCCATAGGGTTTCTAAGGCTGTAATCTTTATAGAAGCAGACTGCCACATCATTCTCCCACAGAGTAGCTGGTGGATTCGAACTGCTGACCTTTTGGTTAACAGCTGAGCACTTAACCACTGTGCCACCAGTGCCCCTTCCAAGAATCACCATGCCCCACCACCAAAAAAAATAAAAAATAAAAAGAGAGAGAGAAAAAATAAATAAATAAAGGACGTAGGTTTTGGTAGAGTTGTTTTCTTACATACCTATTAGATTGTAACTTGGGGTAACTCATATTTCTTTCTTTCTGTTTATTTAAATTGTGCCTTAGGTGAAGGTTTACAGAGCAAATTAGTTTGTCATTAAACAATTAATACACATATGGTTTTGTGACATTGGTTGCCAACCCTGGGACATGGCAACACTCTCCCCTTCTCGACCTTGGGTTCCGCATTTCCATTTGTCCAACCCTCCCGTGTCCTCCTGCCTTCTTGTCCCTGCCCCTGGGCTGGTGTGCCCATTTAGTCTTGTACACATGGTTGAGCTACATGTATTATTGTTTGTTTTATGGGCCCATCTAATGTTGGGTGAAGAATGAACCTCAGGAGTGACTTCAGTACTGAGTTAAAAGGGTGTCTAGGGGCCATACTCTCGGGGTTTCTCCAGTCTCCGTCAGACCAGTAAATCTGGTCTTTCTTTTTGTGAGTTTTAATTTTGTTCTACATTTTTCTCCAGCTCTGTCTGGGACCCTCTATTGTGATCCCTGTCAGAGCAGTCAGTGGTGGTAACTGGGCACCATCTACTTGTGCTGGACTCAGTCTGGTAGAGGCCAAGGGAGTTGTGGTCCATTAGTCCTTTGGACTAATCTTTCCTTTGTGTCTTTCGTTTTCTTCATTATCCCTTGCTCCAGACAGGTTGGGACCAGTAGATGTATCTTACATGGCTGCTCACAAGCTTTTAAGACCCCAGACGCTACTCACCAAAGTAGGATAGAGAACATTTTCCTTATAAACTGTGTTATGCCAATTGAGCTAGATCTCCCCTGAGACCATGGTCCAGACCTCAGTCCAGTAAGTCAGTCCCTATGGGAGTTTGGATGTGTCTATGAAGCTTCTATGACTTTGCCTTGGTCAGGTTGTGCTGGCTTCCCCAGTATTGTGTACTGTCTTACCCTTCACCAAAGTTACGACTTACGTATTGTCTATTTAGTGTTTTTCCCTCCCCACCCTCCCCTCCTTAGTAACCATCAAAAACTGTTTCTGTGTGTCAACCTTTTCATGAGTTTTTATAATAGTGGTCTTATACAGTATTTGTCCTTTTGTGATTGACTTCTTTCATGCAGCATAATCCCCTCGAGATTCATCCATGTTGTGAGATGTTTCACAGATGCATCATTATTCTTTATCCTTGTGTAGTAGTCCGTTGTGTATATTTACCATAGTTTGTTTAGCCATTCATCTGCTGATGGGCACCTAAGTTGTTTCCATTTTTTTGCTATTGTGAAGAATGCTGCAGTGAACATGGGTGTGCATATGTCTATTCATGTAGCAGCTCTTATTTCTCTCGGATATATCCCTGGGAGTGGGATTGCTAGATCATATGGTACTTCTATTTCTAGCTTTCTAAGGAAGTGCCATATCATTGTCCAAAATGGTTGTACCATTTTGCATTCCCACTAGCAGTACATAAGAGTTCCAATCTCTGTGGATCCTGTCCAACGTTTGTTATTTTCTGTTTTTTTGATTAGCGCCAGTAGTGTCAGAGTGAGATAGTATCTCATTTTAGTTTTAATTTGCGTTTTTCTAATGGCTAGTGATTGCAAGCATTTCCTCACCTGTCTGTTAACCGACTGAATGTCTTCTTTAGTGAAGTGTCTGTTCATATCCTTTGCCCATTTTTTAATTGGATTATTTGTCTTTTTGTTGTAGAGGTTTTTGATTTTCCTACAGATTTTAGATATTAGACCTTTGTTGGATATGTCATAGCCAAAATTTTTTTCCCAGTCTGTAGGTTCTCTTTTTACTCTTTTGGTGAAGTCTTTTGATGAGCATAAGTATTTAATTTTTAGAAGATCCCAGTTATCTAGCTTATCTTCTGGTGTTTGTGCATTGTAATTATGGTTTGTATTGTATTTATGCCAGGTAGTAGGGCTCCTAACATTGTCCCTATTTTTTATTCTATGGTCTTTATAGTTTTTGGTTTATATTTCAGTCTTTGATCCATTTTGAATTAGTTTTTGTGTATGGTGTGAGGTATGGGTCCTGTTTCATTTTTTTACAGATGAACATCAGTTTTGCCAGCACCATTTATTAAAGACTATCTTTTCCCCACTTAATGGACTTTGGGCCTTTGTCAAAGATCAGGTGACTGTAGGTGAATGGATTTACATCTGGGTTCTTGATTCTGTTCCATTGATCAGTGTATCTGTTGTACCAGTACCAGGCTGTTTTAACTACCATAGCTGTATAGCAGCTTCTAAGGTCAGGTAGTGTGAGGCCTCCTACTTTATTCTTCATTTTCAATAGTGCTTTACCTATCCGGGGCCTCTTTACTTTCCATATAAAGTTAGTAGTTAGTTTTTCCATCTCTTTAAATAATTCTGTTAGTATTTGGATCAAGATTGCATTGTATTTGTAGATTGTTTTGGTTAGAATTGACATTTTCACAATGTTGAGTCTACCTTTCCATGAGCATGGTATATTTTCCCATTTAGGTAGGTCTCTTTGGGTTTCTTGCAGTAGTGTTTTGTAGTTTTATTTGTATAGGTCTTTTACATCCCTGGTTAGATTTATTTCTAAGTATTTTATTTTTTTAGGGGTATTATAAATGGTATTGCTTTCCTGATTTCCTTTTTGTAGTTCTCTTTATCGGGATATAGGAATCCAACTGATATTTTTATGTTTATCTTGTATCCTGCTACTCTGCTGAATCTTTCTTACGGAGTTTTCTTGTGGAGTCTTTTTGGGTTCTTGATGTATAGTATCATACTATCTGCAAATAGAAGTAGTTTTACTTCTACTTACCAATTTGGATGCCCTTTATTCTTTTTTTTGCCTTATTGCCCTAGCTAGGATTTCCAGCATAGTGTAAAAAAGGAGTGGTGATAAGGGGCATCCTTGTCTTGTTCCTGTTCTCAGGGGGAATGTTTTCAGCCTCACTCTGTTGAGAATGATGTTGGCTGTAGGTTTTGTATAGATGCCCTTGTAACTCATATTTCTTAATGGTAAGATGGCTAAAGGTGAGTATAAGTGTAGGTGCTAGTGACTCTTCTAATAAGCACTTTACCTAGATTGTTTCACTTCATTCTCATAACTGCCCTGGGAAACAGGTACTATCATTCTCCCCATTTTGTAGCTGAGGAATCTGAAGCTTAGCAAGGTTTAATGATTTGCTCAGTGAATTACATTTACTCACTGGCAGTGCTCAGAACCCACTAAATGAGCTGGTTTACCCTCAGATGCTCTTCAGTACACTCATGCCCTTGCTGTTATTAAATCCCTGACACTCCAGTTCTTCTCTTAGACATGTTTTCTGCAGCAGGTGTCATTGGGGAGCACTCCGACTTGGAGACTCTCCTCTGAAGGTTGCCTGTCCCAAGCCTGCTTCCTCCTCCTCTGACCTTGCTTCTCAGTCTAGTTCCTGAGCTCACCTCTTCTAATTCTGAAGCATCACTGCCTCCCAAATCCATCCTTGTTGCTTTTCTCTTTGTGGTCTCTCTGAGTGGCTATGTCCACCCTTGGACTTCAGTTGCCACTGAGGGCTGGCAGTTCCCATGTCTGCCTCTCTCATCATGGAAGTCCAGACTGAACTCAGTTTACCAGAGACAGAAAACCAGGAGGCATTCTTCGCTGGTCCTTCTACCTTCTTCCCCAGGTCTAAGTGGAATCAACTCAGTGGCAGCGAGTTTGGTTTTTTTGGTTTAATTGGAGACCAGGTTGTGACTCTGTCCTCTGAATCTCTCATAATCTGTGCCTTCTCCTTTCCCTCTGCCTGTAACTTAGCTTAGGCCCTTTGCAAGTTCTAACTTAGATTATTCCACGGTCGTCTCATGTTCTGCTTGATTCTCTTCATTTCTTCATAAACATACTGAAGCATTATGCTAAGCACAAGTGCTGTTGTGTTGAACAAAATCCATGTGATCCCTGCCTCACAGAGCTAATCATTTAGTGGAGAAGATGGACTTTGAATGATAAAATGGTAACTGCTCTAAGTGTTTGCTTGTCCCTGGGTGGTGCAAATGGTTAAGTGCTGGGGTGCTAACTGGAAGGATGGAGGTTCTAGCCCACCCAGGGGTACCTTGGAAGAAAGGCCTGGCAATCTACTTCTGAACAATCAGCTATTGAAAACTCTGTGGAGCACAGTTCTACTCTGGCACACATGAGGTTGCCATGAGTTGGAGTTGACTTGATGGCATTGGGCTTATAAGCATTTGCTATTGTTATGTGCCTGGGGCTGTTCCAAGTGCTTTTCATATATAAACTTGTTTAATCTTATCAACAGCTCTACAATGTAGATAATTTTTTATTCTTACCACTTTTTGGATGAGGAAAATGAGGCACAGGGGTTAAACAACTTCCCAAAGGCTCCGTAGCTTCTTCGTGCAGAGGCAAGATTTAGACCCAGGCTGTGGCCCTTCAGAGACCAAGTCATTTACAGTTTCATTCTGTCTCTGTGCACCATGCTGTGTTGCCTTTGAACATGTAATTACAAGTTCAGTGGCCACCAGGAAAAGGTGAATGAGAGGAGCTGTGGGTGTGTATAATCCTGGAGAGTGCTATGAAAAAACATAGGAGGGGGCTAATAGAGATGGGAATTTAGGAAATTCTGTGCTGAGGAAGGGGATATTTAATCCGAAACCTGAGACTGACAAGGAATAATCTGGACATATGGGGGAGGGGCAGGTGCTGTTCCAGGCAGAGGGAACAGCATGTGCAAAGTCCCTGAGGCAAGAGAGAGCCTGGTGTGAGCAGGGAAGGCTGCCAACCAGCGTGGCTGCAGTGTGGGGTTGGGGAGAGCAGAGAGTAGCAGGTGATGGAGCTGCAGATGTGGGCAGGGGGCCAGGCAGGGAGGAGCTGTGGGTGGGATTCTTCTGACCATGAAGTCTGAGAGAAGCTAGGGTTACAGTTTCATTTCCGTCTAGTGCATTCTCCCTGCTACTGTGTATTCCAAAACAAAAATCTGATTCTTACTCTCCTCCTAATTTCCATTCCAAGAAGTTATTTTCTCCAGTTGCTGAGAAAGCTTATTGAATTGGCATTCTTTGCTGGGAAAGGGCACAGCGAGGCGGAGGAGCAGAATTAGAGATCCTGAGCGGTAATGTTCTAGATTGTTTGTTCTCACTAATGGCAAACTTGATGTCTGTGCCTTTTATGTGAAAGAACTTTAGAGAACTTCAGCAGTTTTGCCTCTTTTGAATGGAGCCCAAATGGACCACCTTCTGTTGAATTCTCTTCTATAGTAGTTACAAATAAATATATTTTAGTGTATTTATTAATAGTCCGTATGCTTTTAAATGTATGACTCTTCACACCAGGGAATGTTTTACCTTATTTATGGACTTCAGCATGAATGCAGTCTCATTTCTGATATTTACCATTTTGTTTTAACAATAGACTAAACATTTATCATTTGAATTGCTTTTCAGATTGCCATCCTTATTTGGAAATTATTCCTGAGTAAGGTGTGTTTAACATTTCAATCCTGTTTTTGTTCCTCAGTTCAGAAAAATACCCAGTATGTCCTTGTGTTTGATGCATTTGTCATTGTGATTTGCTTGGCATCTCTGATTCTGTGCACAAGATCCATCATCCTTGCTCTAAGGTTACGCAAAGTAAGTAAGTGTTTGCATTTTCTCCTTCCCCTCTTGGCTTCTGCCCTCCGTTTGCCGAAACAGTGAACCACTGATGGTGTGTCATCCTGCCCTTTCTCGTCAACTAAATTAGATTCCATTGAGTGATTGCCCCCCTAACGAGGCTTTAATCAGCCTGGGGTATAGGAAGTGAGTAAAGCCTGCGGCAGGTCAGATGGGATCAGATAATTATCCTGCCTAAAACGGTGCTAATAAGCACAGGTGTGCAGTAGTGAACCCTCAAGCTTGTGAATGTTTTGAGAATAAACAAGGCCCTTTAAATTCAGGAGTGATCTTAAGAACAGAGTAATAGCATGTGTGGGTTTCATCTTTTGTCTTCAAGTCAGAGTTCATTTTGACTGAGACAGATGGTAAATGGATTATAATGAGGCATAAAATACTTTATTCTATTTTTTAAATAGTTTTCGAATTCTCCCCAGGGTTTCATTTTACCTTTTTACCCTCAGGACTTTTCTGAACATACTCCAGCTCCCCACAATTTTATTCTAGTGTTTGGCATGTATGTGAATGTATACTGGTGTCAGGGGAAGTAGGAAGGAATTTGAATATCATTTGTGAAGGCATGAAATAGTCAACATTCTACTTTCCTTGATCTTGACCTTTTGAATTTACTTTGTAAACTCCCATCTCCTCAACCCCCTCGATATTCTGAATCTGAGATCAGAGTGCTGGCTCTGTCACAGTGAAGGGGTCAGCACTGGGACATGATTAGAAGCTCACACTCCAGGGCCAGAATGCTTGGATTCAAATCCTGGCTGAACTTCTCTGAGCCTCAGTTCCCTCCTCTGGAAGATAAGGCTAATAGTACCTACTTCATAGGGTTGTTGTCAGATTGAATAAGTTGATATATGTGAAGTATTTGGAATGTCCTACGTGTTAGCTATTATGACAGGAGTCTGTCAGGATTAGAGTATAAGGCATCTGTTTAACTTTTGAGTGAATTTAGCAGGCACATGAATGCTTATTGCTGGGGTAGATGGCGGGGGAAACTGTGTGCTATAATCCTCGCCAAGCGGGTATAACAAGTTGGAAAAGAGAATGGCCTATCACTTTACAGCCAAGAACGCTGTTTCATGCTTGTCTTCTTCCTGAAGTCAGTGTGGTTTGTAAGGAATGCTTTTTAAAATGTTTGCCATAGAGATTTCTAAATTTCTTCCTGGAGAAGTACAAGCGACACGTGTGTGACGCTGACCAGTGGAAGTTCATCAACGGGTGGTATGTCCTGGTGATCATCAGTGACCTCATGACAATAATTGGATCCATCTTAAAAATGGAAATCAAAGCAAAGGTGAGGCACAACTCATTTTAAGTCTTTTTGTTCTTCATATTCTTCCTGATGACTTTAGGCATTTTAAGATACAAAATCCTTATGGAGAATAATTTGGTTCTAGTGTTTTCTCTTTTCTCACGTCTGTACAAGTGAAGGAGACCCTGGTGGTGTAGTGGTTAAGAGCTATGGCTGCTAACCAAAAGATTGGCAGTTCGAATCCACCAGCCGCTCCTTGGAAACCCTATGGGGCAGTTCTACTCTGTCCTATAGGGTCGCCATGAGTTGGAATCAACTTGACAGCAACGGGTTTGGTTTTGGTTTTTGGTATACAAGTGAAGCCTCCTGTGACTTAATTCCTCCTGAAGGTAAAATAAGGAAGCTGATACCCTATTAAAACCTGTTGCCATCAAGTCAATTCTGACTCATAGTGACCCTATTGGACAGAGTAGAACTGCCCTATAGGGTTTCCAAGCAGCGGCTGGTGGATTCAAACTGCCAACCTTTTGGTTAGCAGCCAAGCACAAATACCTTTGTCCTAGTTACCTAGTGTTGCCACTGTAACACAAATACCACAAATGGGTGACTTTAAAGAATAGAAATTTATTTTCTCGCAGTTCTGGAAGCTAAAAGTCCAAATCAGGGTCTCGGCTGTGTTGATTCCTTTCTTGTTGGTAGTCCCGACTGTTCCTTGGTTCCTTTGCTTGACGTCTGTCTTCCCCCATGTGTGTCTGTGTGTGTGTTCTGGTCTTTTTATAATTCAGAAGTGATCAGACTTAGGATCTACTCTACACTGGTATGACCTCATTAACATAACAAAAGAAAACCCTTGTTTCCAAACAGGATCACATTCGACACATACGGGGTGGGGGGCACAATTTAATCCATAACGATCCCCCAGGAAAGTTGGCAGCATCACCAGCCTAGTAACTGAAGTTTGACAAGATTGGTTATTTGGGCTGCTTTTTTTTTTTCAAGTTGTGAAAGGAGCAGCTGACCTAAAAGCCAATCACTGTGACCAGAGTAATAAATATGTGCGCCCTGAGCCAATGGCAACAATCCATGATTGTTTGGTTTGCCAGATGGAGGTGAGGGGAGGAATATTCAAGTGGCTACCAGGTGCCAGACACTTTATATAAATTTGTTGGCTTTATCTCAAAACAGCCAGTCTTGACTCTTCCTTCATCCAGCCACCCTCCCCTTCACACTATGCTGTCAATCACCAAGTCTTACCAGCTTTACCTCCTTACCACTTACGTGTCTCCCCTCTTTATCCCGACTACCTCTAGCTTCTTTCAGGCCATCTTCCTCTCTAGCTTGGACTGCTACAGCAGCCTCCTAATTGGTTTTTCAGCCTTCAGGGAACCTTGTATACCTCAGAGTAATTTTTTCTGGAATCGTCTACCTCAGTGTTAAAATCATGTATGCCTCCTGAGGCCTACCATTGGATGAAGTGGCCTCTCCTCAGCGTGGCCTCCATGGCTCACATCACCTGGCTCTGCCTCCCGCTCTGGCCCTAAGCCCTCGCTGACCCCATGATACTGCCCCTCTCGGACGCCTTGCCGTTCTCAGCACTGTGCCTTCGTTCAGCAGTCCATTTACTTACTTACAGTGCTCTCTCCCAGCCTGTCCTTGGGGCCCAGCCCCACTCGGGGGTCACGCCTGTGAGAAATCCTCGTGACCGTCTATACACATGTCTCTCATTGCCCTCAGCACATTATATTAGGGTGGTGTTTATGTGTTTGCCTCCTCAACTAGACCTAGAATTCTTTGAGAGCAGGAAATGTGGTAGTATATCATGTTTGAGGTTTCTTTCAAAAGTAACTGAACTGTATTGTTTGGTCTTCACAAACACCATTAGTTTATATTCTTTAATGCCTAATTCAGGGGTAGATGAAACGTCTATTTCAGGATATTATTTGGAAAAAAAAATTGGTTCAACTAATTGAAATATTAAAAGGAAATAAGAAACTCATTTGGAAATGAATTCTTTATTTCTTCTTATTCTCTTCCTTTTCTTTTTAAAATTCTTAGTATCACTTATAGGGAAGCAGGCAGTCCATTCTTCCCCAATCCATTTGAAGTGAAGCTAGTACCGCTGATGCTGTAAACTATTACTTCTTTGAATAAAGCTCAGTACAGTAGAATATTTTACTCATCTGTCTTTTTTTTTTTTTTTTTTTTATTCCTTAGAATCTCACAAATTACGATCTGTGCAGCATTTTACTTGGGACATCTACGTTGTTTGTTTGGGTTGGAGTCATCAGATACCTGGGTTATTTCCAAACATATAATGTAAGGACGTGGTATTGAGTAGTGCTGCTGGGACTGTGGCTCATTTATTTTGCGGGGTCTAGTAGGATACCTCTAAAATATTCTTTTTCATGTCCCCCATCCTGTTGATTTTTTTCAGGTGCTCATTTTAACGATGCAAGCCTCACTGCCAAAGGTTCTTCGGTTTTGTGCTTGTGCTGGTATGATATACCTGGGCTACACGTTCTGTGGCTGGATTGTCTTAGGACCTTATCATGACAAGGTGTGTAGGGATAATTCTTCCTTCCACAAATTAGGTACATGGGACCCTTACACGTGGGTTTTCAGCACTTACCTGCTTCTCACTCTTCTCCAGCACACACCCGTGACATCAGTAAGCACACACCTTTGCGTTGGTTTTCCTTTTCTTTTCAGGATATTGAAAGGACTTCAGGATATTAAACGAAAAATTGCTAGGAACCAGAGAGCACATTTCATAATTGTCAGGGACAGACTTAAAGTGTCTCCTGTTAACCCAGCTGATCATCAAATGAGAAACGTTTGAACATGAATTCATTATAGTAAAAATGAAAATTAGGTGAGGAAAATCATCTTTCTGATTTAAAGTATTAGGTTGTTTTTTTTTTTTCATCCAGGTTAGTTGGGGAGAATAAAGATGGGCAAAGACTCCTGTGAAAGACCATATTAGATTTATGACTGAATTGATAACGTCTTGTCTTTACAGGTGGTTTTGATTACAGCGTCATCTCTGAGCCTTATTAAAGATCAGTATCTGAATTCTAAACTATTACTGAGCTTCAGTCAGAATCATTATCTGAAGGACAGCACAATTATGCTCAGATGTTCTGGTTCAAAAATGATAAATTTGATCGGTAATAAAATCACTGTCAGGAAATGAAACTAGGTGGGTCTTATTTTCAAACCCTCCAAAAAGAAAAAAGAGTTACTGCATCTTATAGTTTTTCTTCTGTGCGCCTGTTACAGTTGGAACAACAGCAGCAACAGTAACAGCTGACGCTGCTCATGTGTTAGGCACTGTGCTAAGTACTTCTGTATCCTCTCACGTTTAATTCCCACAACATCCCAGGCACCGTTAGCCTCACTCTGGCTCTATGAGGCAAAAAGAGGTTAAGATGCAAAGGATTATTTCCAAGCTTGTATGACATCTTGGCCTTAACTTTTGACCTTAATAATTGGATTTACCAAAACGTGTGTGATCAAATCTGGGTTGCAAGTTATTCACAAAGAGGAAGCAGTCTACAAAGTTCGAACTTTCCATGCTGTCCTTCCAAAATAACGCCTAGTAACCTGCACATCCAGGCCTTGTCCTCTTTAAGCATCATATTTAATACATCCTTGAATAGTTACTATTTTTCCTATTGGAGAAACTGTGCAGTTAACAAAGTGACAAGCTCTGGGTTAGTAATAAATCTTGAAAATCTTATTGCTCTTCCAATTCTATGTCACTGCTTTAAAGGTGACTCACGAGTAAAAAATGCTCTTTGTTATGGTCTCTCTGATCTGGAGAATTTATACTGCCTAGGAAAATTGACGATTTTTTCTTGCCTCGTGCTCTGAAAGCATCTCCACATCGTTGTCACTAGAGGGCAATGTTGCACTGTGTGGAAAAATGCAGAGCCTGAGGATCTGGGCTTTAATTCACTGGCCCTAGGACCTGGGGAACAAGTGGTTCTGTCTCCTTTGCTCTCCATCTCCCCTACCCCCTCATTATTCTAGAAGGCGCTTGGGTTATGTTGCTTGAATGTTACTAAAATAGTGAGCATTCTTGAGTGCTATGAGCCGGGCATGGTGCCCAAGTTCTTTACCTGTCTTACTATGCTAACCCTCACGGTAACCCTGTGGGAAAATATTGTTATTCCTGTTTTACCTACATGTGTTAGATAATTTGCCTTGGGTCACGTCGCTTAGTAAATAGCAGAGGTCTTAGTAAATAGCCTAGGTCTCCCTGACCTCAATGCACATGCTCTAGCCAGTCCCCTGTAAAGCTTTTCTTGACATTATCCAAAATGGGCCATTGCAAATGAGCATTTAGTTTGACCCAAGCAGCAGGACAGTACTTCTAGATCAACTTTGAGAGGAGAGCCATACAACCAGTCTTCTTTCTCTAGACGGATATCAAGATCTCCTCATGGAAAATGAGGCTTATTTGCTTTGTGAGTCTGACTGCATTTCCATATGTCAATCCTGCACTTTCAAAGGATCCAGGTGAAATTGAGATGCTCTGGATTGACACTGTCCAATAAAAGTGTAATGTGAATGAAAAAATGGCGTGGTGGAGGCATCTGACCTCGTCTAACTTCACAAGGGGGGAAGGAGAATCAAGATCAACAGCCAACGGCTGATTCCTGTGAAGCGGAGGTCAGACATACCACCTCTCTCCAACTTTTTTACCGATTCTGACACCAGTCATCTCTCCATGGCACTGTATTTCTCTGCTGGGTTCGATAATTTGTTGCAGTGGAAGCACAGAACTCACAGACCATACTCACAGTTATGGGGGTTATTAGGGAAGTAACAGGTTACAATTCAGGATCAGAAATGACTCAGGATACAGTTCTTCAATCAAGACAGCCTCTTCTCAGCTGTGCCCGCAGACCGGTCTCTCTCTGACCCTCAGCTCCTTAGCCTGGCTTCTGCCCTGGTTCGGCAAGTGTTACGAATCTCTTTAGCTCCACTAATAAGCACCCAGAGACACCCTGGTCCACCAGTAAGCCTTGGTCTGAAGGCACTCAGCTCTCTAACTCCATGGGCCTGCAAGCCTAGCTCTGCTGACAAGTGCCTGGAGGCTCCCCACTCTGCCAGCAAGCCTCCTGCCCAAAGGCTCTCAGCTTTCTCACTCAGTGGGCCAGGAAGTCCACTGCACTGTCTCCTGCTGGTCTCCTGGTTCTGTTGCCTCTGCTGCTGTGGTTTCTCTACTGCTTCTGGCCGTCTCCAGCGTTACAGCTCTCTCTCTCTCTGTCTTATGGGTTTAGGAGGTTCTGAGTGCAGGGATCCCAGGTCCAAAGGACTCACTCTGCTCCTAGGTCTTCTTTCTTGGTGGTAGTGAGGTCCCTCTGTTCACCTTTGGGATGGCTCACTTTAAGCCTAGCGGGATGGTGGAACTGACCAACCCCTCGTTAGGGTTCCATACACCTTATTTGAATAGTCCCATCCCCACAAGGGTGCTATGCACCTCATTTGCATTATTAGCAAGCTGCTCAATCCCCTTGGTGGGTCACAAGCACTTATTTGTATATAGCCTCACCCAGTCATTTGATGGGAGTTACAGTACCATGGCAAGAAAGGCCATATAAAAGCAATCCGTTGCACCACAGTGAGTTACTAATGAGAGCCATGCTTTTTCTTTAAAAACTTCTAGTAGACACACTAAAGAAATTTTAAAAAGACACAAATGAAATTGATTTTAATAATATATATTCTTTAATCCAATACATGTACGATATTATTGCAGCATGTAATCTATATAAAATATTGGTATATTTTATATTCTTTTTCTTTATTTTTATATTAAATGTTTGAAATCTGCTATGTATTTTGCAATTATAGCGCATCTCAATTCCGACTAGCTACATTTCAGGTGCTCAGTATCTACACAAGGCTAGTGGCTACCATATTGGACACTACGCCTCTAGAATTATGTCTGTCATTTAATGTTAGCGTCCATTTATCCCCTTGGAGGAGTAGAAGGACAAGGGATGTCTCTAAAGAGTTGCCCAGCAGGTCTGTTTGTAGCATCTCTCTCCCATCCCTAGTTAGGCTGTTATGTTGAGGAAATGGATACTTGAGTTAGAAATTCAGTGAATGCACTAGTCAGTGGTGGGAGGAAGCCTTCACTTTGGTTCTAGAATTTTGTGCTTTTCTTCTCCATATCCTCCTTATTTGAATCTGAAGTTAGAAAATTTTAATTTCTCAGTGCCGCTAACCACCCTCCCCAAAATTTTTAATTCAAGCTGTCAGAATTTTCAGGTTCTGTTGAACCAGAGGGCCTTAAGTGTTCCCTGCAGGCCTGAAACACTGAGTGCTACAGCAAGCATTTTCTAGGAGTTTTAAAATCATAGCAGCCTTCAGTGTGGAAGTTAACTCTTTTTTAAAACACAAAACAAACAAAAAAACCCTAAAGAAGAAGTATCAGGAAAACTATAATTTTACCCTGTTTGATTGACAGCAGGAGTCCCACAACTTTTTAGCTTCTTGTTTTCCTGTGGCTCAGCTGAAAGGAAATAATGATACAAAAGGGTGTCCTGTCCAAGTTTGTTTCCAGCACTAATGGAGTTTGGCATAGTGCCCTTTCAAAATGTCTGGGCACAGAGGGTTAGAGACTGTTGATGTTCTTCCAAACCTCATCTTGAATTATTAAACATTACTCTAATGCAGCTTTTATGGTTCCAGAGGACTTTCTTACTGTGAGGAGTATATTGTAGTCTTGCGTTGTTCCCATTTTACCAATGAGCAGACCAAGGCATTGAAGAATTGTTGGATTTCAATGATGCCATGGTGATGCAGAACCTGCATTACAGCTTCATGCCTCCAAGACCTCTGATTCTTATTCAAAAGAACAGTTAGCCAGTCAAAAAATTTTTGCATGAGGTACTTAACACCAGTTCTTGAAGAAAATTTTTACATCATTCTCTGACATAAGGCATTCCAGGATATGTTTTTATTCAAATGAAGGTTCTTTTTGGCTCCATCACGAAATTATCATCACTTGTGAAACAAATGTTTGCTCCTCACTGTGGTTCGATAGAACCTAGGGGGACTCTTCATGGAAACATCCATTTAATGTTTATTAAATGTCTGTGGTGCACCAAACATTGCCAAGTTCTTTGAGACCAAGTTCTTAGAGTATAGGGAGTGTGGCTTGTTCTCCTTTGCCATCCCAGTGTCCAGCATGGTGCATGGAACATGGTAGGTGGCCAACAAGTTTGTTGAATGCACAAGAGAGAAAGACAGCATTACCTGCATTCGAGGAGCTTACGATCTCATAGCAATGGAAGCAACTCTCTATAAATGCAGTCCTTCTAGGCTGGAAGAACACTAGGACATTATTTCTCTCTTAGGTATTTCTCAAGCTCACCTCTAGTATGAAATTTGGCTACTGATGACTCTGGTTCACAGTCATTTCTTGTGGCACAGAATGACAAAGTCTGCGCCAATTGTTTAACTTATTGGTTCTTTAACTTTATGTGAGTTAAAATAATTCTCATGTGCATAGAGGAAAGGGAGGTATAATGGCTGTAATTAACAGCCACATTAACGGTGAGAGGTATTTTGTCTGGACTGATACTAAGTAACTGCACAGGAAACTGAGGACTAATTTGATATGTTCCGACTAACTGGCTATTTGCAGTTCTGAAACTTGAAGCACAGACTGTTAGGAATTATTGAAACTAAGAAAAAGAATTGACCAGATTCTGAAATTATGAGAAATATGAATTATTAATGGTCCCGTCAGAGTTGTAACTGGCATCCACAGAAACCAGCTTTAACTTCATTGCCTGAAGGCGACTGGAGGGGATGGAAAATATTTACTCTGGGAATGCCTTTATTAAATAATTTGCATATTGTTAAATGATTTGCTCACCCAGATATTCCCTCCAGGCCTCTGTTGAGAGTGACCTCAGTCTAGTTGCTCGGTGTTGTTGTGAATGCAGCAAAGGTGTGGGTGTGACCCTTACCTGTGGTACACTTGTGTACCTTTTCCCTTGGCCACAAACTTTATCCCGCCCTGTTCAGCCGCGGGGCGGGGAGTGTAATACATAACATTTGGTACCTAGTTGGAGTATGTTGTTAATTGCTGTTGAGTCAGCTCTGACTCAAGGCAACCCTGTGTATAGCAAAATGAAGTACTGCCAGGTCCTGCACCATCTTCACGATCGTTAGTATGTTTGAGTCCATTGTTGCGACTATTGTGTCAGTCCATCTCGTGTGAGGGTTTCCCTCACTTTCGTTGGCTTGCTACTTTACCAAACATGATGTTGGTGTATGGAGAAGTGTGCATAAAACAGAAGACCATCGAGTAGTTTACTTTGTGGTCCTGAGTAATATTGAAAACTGAAAGATACTATGGACTAGCTGCCAGGGCAGGATGCCTTGAAGTAGAATTTGAAATAGCCGTTGAATGTTGACTTGATGTGGACACAGAAAGGAAGAAGAAGAACATAATAGGTACAGAGAATAAGTCCTATGAGGAAAACATGTAAAAATGAGCCTGGCATTCTGGGAGGAGAGAAGCACAGTGTGTTAATGTTAATGGCTAGGTGGAATGAAGCCACATGAAGGAGAAACTTGTTCAAACCTGGTGAGCCCTGGTGGTGCAGTGGTTAAGCATTCGGCTCCTCACCAAAAAGTTGGTGGTTCAAACCCACTAGCTGCTCTGCAGGAGAAAATACCTGGTGATCTGCTGTGGCAGAGATTACAGCCTTGGAAACTGTATGCAGCAGTTCTACTTTGTACTATAGGGTCATTATGAGTCAAAATCCACTTAACTGCAGCACGTTTGGATTTTGTTTGTTTGTTATGTTTTGTTCTGTACTTTGAGCCCAGCCTTTGTATATTCTTGCAAGAGAAATGTTCTGTGAAGTTTAGATTTTGCTTCAGCTTGGACCCAAGGATGAAGAGGCTGGAATGAAGAAGGCTTCCTTGGAGGTGATCGTAATAATCCAGATTTAAGTGTTGCCATCAGAGTGGAGTAGGCAGGGTAGATCAGTGAAACATGTCATAAGAACAGACAGGTCTTAAAAGATTGAAGAGAATGGAAAATTAATTGATTCAACACACAATTTTAAGTATTTGGTTATTTTGGAGTAAAATATTTCCTTGATAGGAAATTGGAATCACTGACATAATAAGGACATGTAGAAGGAAAGTCTGGGTTTGGTTGAGAGGGGGACATTTTGCTTCATTGCATGTGAAGTGATAGTACAACTGCTGAGTGAAGAGGTCCCACAGGCATTCAACAAGGAGTTGAGCGCCCCCAAAGCCACACTGCCTTAATGAAAGTACAGATTCCCACCCCTAAGAACGGGATTTGGTTCAAAGTTCTACAGTCACTCACTTCACCTGCTTTTTCTGAAATCTCTGTTTTCTTTTATCTCTTAGGTCATTATTATTCTTTAGATAGAAGCTTTTCACATTACTCTAGTGTTTTAGCCCTCTGGCCCTAGAAACAATAGTTTATTAAGCACCTGCTATTTGTTTTTAGTGGATGTGGCAGTAGAGTTATTCAACCACTTCTACCTAGGAAATATGACTAGCCAGCTACAGGATTCCAGTGGTACTTCACGTTGGCCTCAGCTCGTCCATAGTTTCATATATTGCATTTTCATATATTGCTGGTTGCAGTACAGAACTGCTTCAGTTCTTTCAGAAAGCAGTGTGGCAGATTATAGCATTAGACCCAATAATAGAAAAAAAAGCACTATACTTAGAGATGTAATTACATTGCTCCTTATATTAGCAAACATTATCGGGATGTCCAGTGACAGGGAAATAATTAAATTTGGCATTTGTAAGAAATGGTCTGTTCAACAACTATTAAATCGTCTCTAAGTGTGAATAAGGTGAGAAGATGCTTATGTTAAGTAGAAAAATAATCCAAAATGGTAAGGCAGTACGACCACAGATATATTAAGAAGTACATAGGAAAATACTGAAGGAAATGCCAAGAGATTATCTTCGAGAGTGTGGAGGGGTATTTTTTTGAATAATGTGTTCCTACTTCTTGTGGTATTCTAGATGTCTTGAAATGAATGAGTTACTCTTAATAATAGTAGTGATTGTAATAACTTCCACAAAACAAGCTAACTAGATAGCTCTCTGCTTTTTAGTGTAGTATAAATATGTCTCAGAATAATTTTTGTTTCCGCCCTACAGTTTGAAGATCTAGGCACAGTTGCTGAGTGTCTGTTTTCTCTCGTCAACGGTGATGACATGTTTGCAACCTTTGCCCAAATCCAGAAGAAGAGCGTCTTGGTGTGGCTGTTCAGCCGCCTGTATTTATATTCCTTCATCAGCCTTTTTATATATATGATTCTCAGCCTTTTTATTGCACTTATTACAGATTCTTATGACACCATTAAGGTAAATAATTATCAATATTTGCTGCCAAAACACTACTGCAAATTCTGTATAGATTGTAACATAGGAAAATAGTACATTTTTTCACTTAAGGTTTTGAGATTTTATAGAAAAGAAACTTTCTAGGTGCTAGAGATTTAACTTCAAATATGCATTTAGGTCATTGTCCATATTACTGCAGATCAGAGTGGAGTGGTTTGGAGGTGTGGTGGGAAAAAGGAAATGGGTAAGGATGGGCTAAGGTTGGTAAATCAAGTAGCCTGGTGGCAGGTCTCAGCATTGACAGACGGACCTGCCTGTGGGGCTACCTGGAACTTAGGTTTTGAGTAGCAGCTCTTGGTGATAAGGGGCAGACAACACCTTGACAACTCTCCACATTTTGACACACCTATTTACTGGATGAAGGAGCCCTGGTGGTGCAGTGGTTAAGCACTCAGCTGCTAACCAAAAGGTTGGCAGTTCGAATCTACCAGCTGCTGCACCGGAGCAAGATGTGGCAGTTTGCTTCCGTAAAGATTACAGCCTTGGAAACCCAATGGGGGCAGTTCTACTCTGTCCTGTAGGGTTGCTATGAGTTGGAATCAACTCACCCCACGGGTTTGGTTTTTTGGCATATACTGGATGACCTGGCCACTCCCATATGGCCTTACATCTTTTTGGCTGTTTCACTTCCTACCTTGCTAAGGCACCTGATAGGTTCTGTATCCTTTCAGACTGGGCTCATTAAACTGTTTAGTAGCTTGAAAGAAGCTCTGCTTTCTTGTCAGTGGCACCTCCAAAGCAGATGGCGGCGCTTGGAAAACCCCATTTCAGATCCAGTGTCTGAACAGCAAGGGGTGCCGTGCCAGTGCCTTTGGGTGCTGTCCTCTGCTTAAACCCTCCTTAGATTTAACTCAGTAGAAAGCTGTCTGATTGGAAAAACTCCTGAAGGCTTTTTTGTGTGTGGGGAGAGATTAATGTTCACATGATGGTTGGCATGAGAGGGAAGAGCTTCGTCCCTTGCTGTGTAGCCTTGAGTATTTGACATGGCAGTATCCCTGAGAGTGGGCCAAGCTGCAGTGTTGAGGGGGATGACTTCACTGAGTGCATGGGGAGGGGTTCTCAGGGTCTGCTTGGAAGGACCCTCTGCCTTCTGCTCCACTAAGTGACGAACTTCTATAAAAGTAGAGGATATGAGGATTATTTCCCAGGCAGATTCTGCATTGGCTTTGTGGGAGAGGGGAAGGTTTTATCTGGGCTTGCAATGAATATGAAAGCTTTAGACTTTTGGCTGCTTCCTTCATTCCACTTATTAGCATACCCCTCCCCTACCCCACCCTGGCTTTCTTTCTGCAGTTTTCCTTTGGATTGTTCTCTGTTCCCATGGTGGCCCTGGCTTGGTGTTCTGGGACTGACAGGTTAATTCATCATGGTTAATATCAGTTCTTGGATCTAGGCTAGCAATGTGGGAGAGATTTATTTCAGCAAAGGTAGATTTGTTTGTTGACAAAGGGAGCAATTTGTCATGCTCTGAAATAAGGTAACAACATTGTGTGCTTTTTGAAAAGAAATACCAACAGAGTGGACTCCCTGAAACGGATCTTCAGAAATTCCTGAAGGAATGTAGTAGCAAAGAGTTATATCAGAAAGAGCCCTCAGCCTTCCTGTCCAGCTTCTGCTGTCTGAGGAGGTCAGTATTGTGTTTAATCAGGTCTCCATTGTCCTGAGGTGGGAAGCTCTGCTTCCTTAAGAAAGAGTCATTCCAACTTTAACATTGCACTCAGAAATCAGCTTATTATGGGGAATAATTAATCTTTCATTTCTTTACTCCCACTGAAATTGGCTTTAGAAATGGATCGTTTCTTATAAAATAGGGTGTATAGTTACATGACATGGTTGAAATCTCTTAGGGATATTATGAGACTATTTTGAGAAGGCATGAATAATGTCCCTGAAGCCAAGAAGGTGAACTCATAAGTGGCCAAAGTAGAGACCTCAAAGCTCTTATGTTTAGAGAGGGAGCCCTGAGAACGTCAAAGGCATTTTCCCTTGTCACAGCATGTGGTACAAATAACCTTTCTTGAGCTCGAGAAGAAGCTGTACATGCCCTTGGTTAGAAACATGGTCAGAAGCTCTTCATTCACCAGCTGCACTTTCTGCTGTTTATCAGGATGAGTATGAAAATGGTCTAGACCTCAGTGGACAAAGCATACCACATAGTGGTTTGAGGCCTAGACTGGGGGTCAGACAAGGACCATTTTCTTGAATGTGCCCATGTCTGTTTTCATCTGAAGTCAGGGGAGGATGGTGCTGACTAAAAGCTATCCTTATCCCATGTTTTCTGAGAAGGATTCTCTAAACCAAATTCCTGAAGGAAGATGGGAGAACATAATTGCTACTTAAAACCGTAGGATGTATTTTTTTGTTAATTCATACTGCATCTTGAGATTTTAAATGACATGATTAAGCATTTCTAAAGAAGGAGTCTGGTAAATATGAAATGAGGCTTCTAAGAAGAGTTACTTTTTTAAAAATCCATTTCATCCTCTCTGAACATTATAGTGCTGCCATGGAAGCTGGGATAGAAGGAAATTAATTTTCTTAACAGGCGGCTACCTCTTAAGAGTTACCTTACATTGGCAGTGTAAGGAAGGGGAGGTCTTATCTGGGCTTGCAAGGAATATGAAAGCTTTAGACTTTTGGCTACTTCATTCCCCTTATAAGCACACCCCTCCCCTACCCGACCCTGGCTTTCTTTCTGGAGTTTTCCTTGAGTAAGGGGAATCCACCACCTTGACAAGTATCTCAGAATTGATTTTTTAATGTACAATTAACTGTAAAGAAAACAAAGTTCTTTGGGAAACGTAGTTGTGAATTCTGAAAAATAACTGATAGGTCTTTGGTGCTTGATTTTTGGACCCTGGTTTGTACCACAAAAAGCCCCAGGAAGTTAAGTGTTTTCCTGTGAAGCCATATGGAATGAGAGAAGACTTATTGACAAGATGGGGTCTGAGTGGGGAGGAAGAAGGGAGCAGTATCAACAGATATTTGTCCTCACGTGTGCTGAGGGTTGATGAGGAGATGTAAGGTGAAAAGGCAGCTCTGCTTATAATAAGCAGTGAAAGAATTAAACGGAAAAAGAGAGTCCACCAGGGAAATCAACCAAAGAACCAGGATGTTGAAAGTTTTGAAAAAAGAAGATATCAAAAAATAAAAACAGAAGTGGCCATTACCACATTTAACCAAAAGATGGTCATGGGTAAAGTCAGCTAGAGCAGTTTTGGTAGAGCTATCAGAGCAAAGCCTAGATTCCAGGAGAGTCTGGGGGGCCCCGCAGATAGAAAATGATGGGCATCAGGCCTGGTAGAAGGAAATGGTTGTAACGGGGCCTTGAGAACAAGTGATGGCTTTGACTTCATCAAAAGTGAAGTGCCTGGATATGTTTAAAGGCAACGAACTGAAAGGAATAAAATTGAGAAAGGCCATGAATGAAGAGTAAATACTGGAGAAAGACCTCACTGCAGCAACGTGGTGAGAAAGGGCGCTGCAGATATTGGTGCCTGTGCTCCCTCCCCAGTGCCCATGACAGACAGCACCAGTCTATCACAGCTCTGCCTCCTGCAGAGCATGCACCTGGTCACTTTTTCAACAAAGCAGTCCAAGAACCACTGCAGATTGAGCCTCCTTTCAATTGTTAAAAGAGTCTTTGGACTGATCATCAGAACACCTGGGTTTTTGTTTTGGACCCTGCTATCAATCCAGTGTTGGAGCCCTGGTGGTGCAGTGGTTAAGAGCTCAGTCGCTAACCAAAAGGTCAGCAGTTTGAATCCACCAGCCGCTCCTTGGAAACCATATGGGGGCAGTTCTACTCTGTCCTGTAGGATCACTATGAGTCGGAATCAACTCGATGGCAACGGGTTTGGTTTTTTGTTTTTGTATTAATCCAGGGTGTCCCATGACCTCCCCTAGACCTCTTGGGTCCTCCAGTGTCATTGGGGTGAGCCAGATGACCTCCAAAACCTCTTCTAGTTCTAAAGTGATGTGGTTCTTTGGAGAGAGATGCTTGGTTGAAAAGACGTAACGCTAACATTCTCCCTTCTCCACTTCAGTGAAGGAGGAAATCTGCTGCTTCAGCCATTGATAAGTCTTTGTCAGATAAGGGGGATGAAGGTTCCTAAGACAGGAACAGCTCCTCAAAGATTATTTCCAAAAGCATGCACTCCAACCTAAAATAATGTAAATTGCTCGTCTTAATTTTTCATCTGCCTATAAATGGCACTTAGCATGTTTATAATCTATGTGTACCTAGTATATAGAGTACTCCTATTCCTCCTCAAAGATTTTTAAATATAAGTTGCACTTTTGTTGTTGTTGGGTGCCATTAAGTGGATTCCAACTCCTGGCAACCCCATATGTGCAGGGTAGAAGTGCTCCATAGTGTTTTCAAGGCTGTGACCTTCAAAAGCAGATTATCAGGCCTGTCTTCTGAGGCATCTCTGGGTGGATTTGACCTGCCATCCTTCCAGCTAGTAGTCGAGCACCTGACCATTTGTGCCACCCAGACTCCTAAACTGTACTTAGCATGTCTACAACCTGTATGTACCCAGTATATAGATTATTACTCTCCCTGCTCAAAGATTTTTAAGTCATTGTTCTTTTTTCTCTTTCCTCCTCCCACTTCTGTTACAGGAAAGGAAGTGACGACCACTTGATACTATTTAACTGAAATCCTTGTGCTAAAGACAATCAAGTTTTGGGCATCCTTATCCATTGACAATGCAGAGGGGGCCCCAACAGTTTGGACCAGCACTTCCAAAATGCTGACTGATTTCATTATGGAGCGGGAAAGAAGAGTGACTATCAGCTAGCTGACCCCAACCAAAGTTCCAAAGTTACTTTTTTTAAACTTAGATGGTGAAACATAGACCACAGGATACTACTGGGCATTAGTGCAATAGAGCAATGAAAATGAAATTTTCTAACAGTCTTTTAATTTATGACATGACAATGTTGGGATTAAAAAAAAAAAAAACTCACATTTTCAAAGTGTACAGAACAGTGGTGTTTTAAAGCCAAGTGTTTAAAGATATATGTTAATTGTCAAGTAAGGATTTGTTTTGAAAGTGATTATTGGGTTAGAAGACTCATTCATTCATGGTCTGCACAGAAATGAAGTTGACTGCTATACTGAATTAGAGACTAAGCTGAAGAACTATTAAACCATTTAAAGATTGTACTTAAGTCAACAAAAAACCCTGTAGCAGTGGACATTTCTTGGTCTGATTTCCTGTGGCCTTTCTTCTTCAGTATCTCAAGGGTCAATTATTTTAAATGTATTGGTGAAGAGTAGAAATTGAATTAAGCAGGACCCTAGCCCCAGGGCTCTTCCTCTTTTCCCCCCAACCTCTGCTGTGCTGCCCCACCCCCACCCCCAATTCGCTCCCAGGTTTTCCTTCTCTTTCCTTCCTTATTTCTCCTTGGCCCTTCCCCTCCCCTCCCCCTAGCTCTTTCTTCATGCGCCCACACCAAATCTAGGCAGGGAAAATCCTTCAGTAAATACCATCAATGGAAGTACACATTGAATATTTTGTTAAATTATTTGAATTAACTTATTTTCCTACAGATAGTGTTAAGAGTTATGTTCAACTTTTCAGCTAAGGACCATTCAACTGGTGTTTTTGGGGTCATTTGCAAGATTCCAGAATCAGGTATGTAACTAGATCACATATCCATTTCTTAGTATACCCCCATACACTTAGATCTGGATTCACAGAGCAGAATCACTGTTAGAGCTTCTCACCTTTCTGCAGCTGTGACTGCCATTTGAAAAGGAGATCGATGGTCTTCCATGCTCATGTTATTCTCTTATTGGCTTTCGTGTTTCCTTTTATTTCTTAACCCTCCAGCTGGACAAAACCCTTTCAGGAAGAAAAGCCATTTTCAAGGTTACCCTGAATCTGTGGAAACATTGTTTTGTCTCTCTTGAAAAATTTTAGACAATTGTCACTTTACCAACTGTATTATCTCTTTGAATTTTATTGAATAATGTTGTTCTCATAGCTCTGCTAATCGACACATCTGGGACAAACCATTTTCTCTCCTACCCTATGTCTCCACTTAGAAAGTTCATTGTGAAAGCTAGGAGACACTTTCTTCCTGTCTTCTGCCTTAATTCTGGGATTTCCAACCCTTGTAGAATTTATATCCTTGGCTGGCACTGACACAGTCAAAAGCCAGGTGCAACATCTTTAAGCTTGACTTGGGATGGTGGAAAAGAGCATGTGCTTGGGAGCCATCAAGGCAGACCTGAGTTTAAATCCCAGCTTGCCCTGTAGCTTTGTGGCCTCGGGCACGTTACTTTCTGCCTCTAAGTGAAGATGGTAAACCTGAACAAATGTGTGAGATTGGCATTGAAGTCAAATAACTCATGCAAAGCTGGGCATGGAGTTTTGAAACCTGCGTTGTCCTTTCCCTTAGATTCATTGCCATGTTTGTAAATAGGTCCTATGGGACCATGGACTAGCACAGACTTTAAGAGCATTGCCTCTGCAGTCTGCCTGGGCTTCTGTTCTCCTCCTACAGAATGTCCTTGGACAGGTCACACCATGCCTGTGTTTCCTCATGTGTAAAATGGGACTGACAGTATCTACCTCATAGATTTGTTGCAAGGATTGAATGAGTTCAACATAAGGTGCATAGGTATTCAATGAATATTAGCTCTAAAAAATTCTTTTCTTGCATGGTCTACAAATGTACAAATTTATTCCCTAGGCCAGCCAGCAAGGTCTTTATTTTGTAGTGAGCATACCACATACCTCTGGTAGACTTTGTTCCAGTCAGGACTTTGAGTGTGCAAAAGTCCCCATCAGGCCCTGTCTTTGCAGCAATTATCAATTCTGTCTCAAGAAGTTCACACTTCTTTTTCTTCACCCTTCTAAGAAACTGTGGAGGACAGGCATGTAGAAGCAACCTAAGTGCCTGCCACTAGGAGCACAGCCATCAGTCCTGATGGGAAGGTGAAAGTCCCTGTCATGGATTCAATTTTGTCCTCCAAAAATATGTGTCAACTTGGTTAGGCCATGATTCCCAGTATTGTGTGGTTGTCCTCCATTTTGTGATTATAATTTTATGTTAAAGAGGATTAAGGTGGGATTGTAACCCCCTTACTAAGGTCACATCCCTGATCCAATGTAAAGGGAGTTTCCCTAGGGTATGGCCTGCACCACCTTTTATCTTACAAGAGATGAAACGGAAGCAAGCAGAGAGGGGGGACCTCATACCACCAAGAAAGCTGTGCCAGGAGCAGAGTGTGTCCTTGGGACCTGGGGTCCCTGAGCATAGAAGCTCCTAGTCTGGGGGAAGATTGATAAGAAGGCTGACAGAGAGAAAGGGTTCCCCTGGAGCTGATGCCCTGAATTTGGACTTATAGCCTACTTTACTGCAAAGAAATGAATTTTGTCAAAGCCATCCACTTGTGGTATTTCTTTTATAGCAGCACTAGATGACTAAGACAGTCCCCAAGTTATAAGCTGTCACAAACCTCCCATCACTCATCCTGGGTGCAACCTTCAGGCCTCTACTAGGAGCCCAGTGCCTCATCTGAACTTGTCAGAATGTGCAAAATAGAGGTCGGCTTGCATCTCAGCCCGTTGGCTGATCCAAGGTGGCAAATGCAAAAGGGTGAGAAAGGGTATCTAGGAAAAGCTCTTAAAGGATTCCAGGTACTGTCCTCAACCACAGCTGAGGGTCGATACCATAACAATGGAAGCAGGGGCACACTGACCCAGCAGAGGTCCAGGCTCAGAGGGAATCTCTGGTTTACAAAGAGCCCAGCAGCCCAGTCCCTGATTTAGGGACAAATAGCCTGTCCGTTTCTTATGCCTGAGGACTTCCCTATAAAATAGCCCAGCACTGTCATTAATGTTCAGGGATCCTAGAGTCATCAGGAAATTATGTTCAATGAGCTCCTATGGTCTTGACTATGGAGTAGTTCCAGTCACTATAAAGAGCTGTGAAGCTTAAAGATATGATTCCAGGTATCTGAATAAATTCACTTGTGGCTGCCACATATTCCAGTAACATTGGGTGAATAGACCTCATTTTGCTACTGTCTTAGTCATCTAGTGCTGCTGTAACAGAAATACCACAAGTGGATGGTTTCAACAAAGAGAAATTTATTCTCTCACAGTCCAGTAAACTACAAGTCCAAATTCAGGGCATCAGCTCCAGGAGAAGTCTCTCTCCCTCTATCGGCTCTGGAGGAAGGTCCCTGTGATGCATCAGTCTTCCTTTGGTCTGGGAGCATCTCAGCGCAGGGACCTCAGGTCCAAAGGACTCACTCTGCTCCCGGCACAGCTTTCTTGGTGGTATGAGGTTTCCATGTGTCTCTGCTCGCTTCTTTCTTTCATGTCCCAAAGAGATTGGATTAAGACACTATCTAATCTTGTAAACCTCATCAGCATAACCTCATCACAGTGATAGAATTTACAACACATAAGGAGGTCACATATAACCTCATCATAGTGATAGAGTTTACAACACATAAGGAAATCACATCAGATTACACAATCATATAATACTGGGAATCATGACCCAGGCAAGTTGACAGATATTTCTGGGGGACACAATTCAGTCCATGACAGCTACTAATCAGTTCCACATTTCTTTTCATGTAACTTGGGTAAAGTTTATTTTGATATTCCTGACTTAAGTTTGGAAACCCTGGTGGCATAGTGGTTAAGTGCTATGGCTGCTAACCAAAAGGTTGGCAGGTTGAATCCACCAGGTGCTTCTTGGAAACTATGTGGCAGTTCTACTCTGTCCTATAGGGTCGCTGTGAGTCGGAATCGACTTGATAGCAACGCGTTTGGCTTTTTTTTACTTGAAGTTTGAACATCTCAACCACAGTATTTCAATGATGCTGTGTTTTTCCCCACAAATACCTACAATTTCATACTTCTTGTAAAAGCAGGGATGAAGTATCTCTTGTGTGACAGGGTGATGAGAACATCACAGACTAAACCCTAGGCACAACGACTCAGGTGTGCCTGACCCAAGCCATGGTATTTTCAATCACCTCATACGCATGCAAAAGCTGAAAAATGAATAAGGAAGACCGAAGAAGATTGACGCCTTTGAATTATGGTGTTGGCAAAGAATATTGAACATACCGTGGACTGCCAGAAGAACAAACAAATCTGTCTTGGAAGAAGTACAGCCAGAATGCTCCTTGGACTTCGTCTCATGTCCCTGGAGAAGGACATCGTAGAGGGTCAGTGAAAGAGAAGAAGACCCTCAATGAGGTGTATTGACACAGTGGCTGCAACAGTGGGATCAAACATAGCAACAATGGTACGGATGGCACAGGACTGGGCAGCATTTCATTCTGTTGTACATAGGGTTGCTATGAGTTGGAACCAATTAGATGGCACCTAACGACAACAGGGAAGGACAGTGAACAATATGCATGGGAATAAGAAACTGGTGATTCGATGTTTTGGAGCAAGTGATGAACACCTTTGTTTCCCCTTTGTGTCCATTCGAGATGTTCCAGGCTCTTGATATTGATGATGTACAGGGCCAGCTTCATGGCTGTGTGGCCTGTGTATTCATAAAGGGTCAAACACTTGGTTTCATGCTCTGCTGTCACAATCTTGAAATTCTTAATATTTCTGAACAAAGATCCTCACATTTTCATTTTGCAGTGGGCCCCACAAGAGATGTAGCCAGTCCTGATGATTTGATGGTATGACAGTGATCAAAACATCCAAGCACGGCCTTTTAGGGAAAGGCTAGGAGTCTAGCATGGTACTTTTTCCTTAAGAATGACTTAAATTTAATGAAAAGAAAGAGTGATCCTGAGTTGGAATTACTGTTTAACAGACATTTGGGTACACCATTTCTCTCAGTCTCTGTCCTCACAAATGAATAGCCTTGGGTAGCTTCTAATCTCACAAAGGCGGAGATTAAACTTCTGTGCTTAGTGATACTGATCAATGTTGTTTCCACATCATACTGGCAGTTGGGTGCTGCACTACTCTC